TGTTTATTGATGTTTTGTTTTTCCTCCATAATGACATTGATATTTTTGTTTTTTGAAATCTCGTTTTTTCTTTGCACACCCTCCCAAAAATATTAAAGAAATACTGGAATTGGGAATGCTCTATGGTGTTTTTATAACATGTATGATATGTTGACTGTTATACATGTTTGTCAATTCTTGGTTTGTTCTTTTTCTTCATTCGCCGTTTTCATTTTTTACGAATCCGAAATTTCTTTTCAGGATCTTCCTCTCCCATATTTTTAATTTGTTTTCCATCTTGTTACTACGTGCCCACTGCCCACCTCTCGCATCCGTACATTACTGTTGTTCTAACAACCGTTCTATATGTGCTAACGTTCCTAATTTAGTTTTAGACAATTCTTTGGCTTTCAACAGTTTTACCATTGATCCCATAGCTTTACTTACGTCCATCATTCTCCTTTCGATTCGATATTCTACATCGCAATTACTTATAAATTTTAATTCCCAGGCATTCATGCACTTTGTCACATTTAGAATGTTTGTTTTCTTTGTTGATTTTTATTTCCCATTTTTTTCTGATATATTTTCCATGATCTAAATCGCCTAAATTGCCTTTGGTGTTGTTCTCTTTATGATTACTAGATGATCCACATAATGCTAACATCTGGTGATTGCTATAGTACAGAATATCATTAATCTGAATTTTACTTTATCTGATTATCGCTTCTAGTACTAAATTAAATAACAGTGTGGACAAACTGATCTCTTTGTCTTTGGTCCCGATTTACTTGGAAAGCTGTAGACTCCTTCTAGTGTAACTTTACTGTTGGTCCCAGCTTGGGTTGAGTTAATTTGATTAGGTTTATTAATTTATTTGGGAAGAAAAACTTTCTCAGTAACCTCCAAATTTTATATCTATATATATCGAGTCATATATGTATTTATAGTAGATAAACATCATATGAGTGCTATTTAACAGAATTTATTTTAGTATCAGTATGGACTGATCTACAAAAAACAATTCTTCATTTTTAAAAGACAGTTTGAATTTATTCCTGATGCGTTAGTAGTTATCACGGACGTGATTCGTATCTGTCTTTGCCACTAATGGCCTAAATATTTTTTTGTGGTTCAGTCGTCATTTGGTCTCTCGTCGAACTTCCTTTCCCTATTACCATATTAGCCTTTTAAAGCTTAGATTTTGTAACTTTTATCAACCAATGAGGGCCCTTTATAGTTACTGTCCAAGCACTCTCCTTTTCTATAAATCGGACAATTTACCGACGTTTTCCAGTCCCTTGACATTTGTTCTTCTTTCTAAATATTTAGTACCTATTATATAGTCTTATTCTAAGCAATTCTCCATTAAATTTTAGGACCCCAGATAGGTTTTCTCACTTTATTTATTGTCTTGTATTCTTCCTGTTGTGCTGGTTCTTTCTCTCTATCAGTACATACCTCTTCATCATCATTTCAATTTTCCATGCTACATATAAATGAACAAAAATCGCAAATAGCGCACGAAAATTTGCTCATAATTCTAGATAGGATACGCATATGCCAAAACTGTAGTCCTTACTTTATATAGCTAAAAAGATATATTTAGTAGCGATAAATCCTAACGGACACAGTAGCATTCATGTTTAGATTCTTTGCCTTAGTTTTGTTTTGGGCTTCCTAACGATTTTATATAAAAACGCCCAAAATGTGTTAATTTGTCGCGTCTGAGAAACATTTTGGACCCATATGGGACACCATGTACTTCTAATCATCATTTTAACCAGTTGATTCTAATTCTGGCTATATCAGTGGCATGATGCTGATTGATAGTAGGTAGGGCTTTTTTTATGAAATTCTTGGTAATGGTCTGCTGCCTATTGACCTGAACCTAGGTTAATTTAAGTGTTCACTCACTTTTAAGCAGGTAAAACCATGATGGTATTCTCTTCACTTATCTTCAAATAGTTCGATATATTGTGCTCTCGGGATATGTTAACCATTTCTCGTTTCAATCATCTGTTTAACGAGGATGTAGATAGTTTTTCAAACATTTCATTTGTACGCCACCATACAAACTTCTGACAAAAATGAGAAATGTTTAACATCTGAAGAAAACCTACTCGCAACTGCGCCTGGACTAAGAAATGAGCTTCAACAAGCTGGAGGAACGCATGTAAGCAGTAAAACGGACAGAAGGGGCGTATCAGAAGAAGGTATACTTACAGATGTCCAGTCGAAGTAAATCACTTGAATTTAAATGAAAATAACTGGAGTGTTGTACTAATTAGCGATGAGACGCGTATTCAACTTTGGAAGCCCGATGAATAAAATATAGTGAATAGAAGGCAACAGGTAAAGAAGTGTATTCGCCAAAAGAGCAAACAGACATGAGCGAGCGAACATTATTTATTCGTATTCATGGTGCAAACCAGCAAATATTAGTTAGCTTGGTTAGCTCATGTTCAAAACAGATCCAGCAGGCGTCGATACATCAAAGTAAAATCATGTTCTTGTTTGTTTAATGTGGACGTAAATAATTCAGTGTTCGGTTCTTGCATTTTTAGTAACAGACTTCAAAAAAGGAAAAGGTTGGATTTTTTATGCGTCTTCAGCTATAATTCTTTACCACTTTTTCCGTTTTATATGATTCTATTTTTTGTTCGAAAGTAAGTACCTCAGGTATGATCAGATGATGGGATCCATTAGACAATCATCAAACTCTTCATTTTTTTTAATTACTTTTACAACGTGTTTTTATTAAAAACTGTAATATCTCTATGACAGAAGAATAAATCTTCCACAGTTTCTACCATTTTTCATTATTTTTAGTTACACAAGTTGTAGTAAATTTCTGAATTCTTGCTCTATTCTTAACTGCCCGTCTAAGCTATTTTTTATTTTTTCACGTTCTAACAAACCATGTATCACAATAAATGTCGCACTTGCACAAAATAACTGATGGTTTCGGCACACGGTCAGCAATATTCACTTTAAAATAATGAAAAACAAGAAGTTTCCGAAGCCATGTGTCACAAAAAATACGAGTGACCGTTTCCCTCCGGAAAACAACAACAAAAGAAAAACACCAGAGTAAGAAAAAAAATTCCAACACTTTAACTTTGATTTATCTTGCTAAGGAGAATATCATTCTTGGACTGATTACGTCCTTATTGGGACTCGTCAGTAAGAAATGGAAATAGACATTTTCGAATCCATAAATGGTGGTTGTGTGAGAATAAGAAATTAAAAAGTAGCGCCATCTACACTTGGTAAGCAAAATCAAAGCTCGCTTGTAGTACCATGTTTAAAAACTAGCTGGAATGAAAGCCAGGCGTGCAATTTTGATAAAGGAAAATAATCCCAAATTCAAATATATCAAGATGTAATATTAAGAAAAACAAGAAATTATTGAAGCCCATGTGTTTCGAGTATTCTTGTTTTTCTTTATTTTACGTCTTGGTCACATTTGAGTATGAAATGATTTTCCTTTTTAAAAATTGCCCGCCTCTCTTTTATTCCATCTATATGATAGGTGAATTGTTTTTTTTTTCATTCGCCTTTTTTTTCTCTCTATGCTTCTCAATCTATTTATGTCCTTCCCTCTCTTCACATAAGTCCATTTATCTCTATCCTTACCTGTCTAAGACGTAAAAATTTGTTGAAAGTAACAAGTGTGCAACACGTATTCATTAGTCTCAAGGCTGACTTTATTGTCTTTTAAAAAGAAAAAAATTAGGGATTAGATGTTTTTTTCATTAAGTATCATGACATGTTTCCTTGTTTTTCAGATGCTGATAAAAGTTATTCTAGCCAGATCAGAAACTGAGGCCATGATGAACTTGGTTCTTCAACAGCTGCAAAATTACGCCGGATGAAATAAATTAATAGTGAAACATTGTTATGTGAAAGAGTTGAAACTTTCAATTTTGAATATTTTCATTATTTCCTGATTTTCATGCGGTTAACTTTTCCTCAAATTTTTGTAAATTGTAAAATAAGTATTTTTAGCTTTTCTAACATCCTCTAATTAATTTATAGTGATCATACCTAAGTTGTTTTTTTTTTAATAACAAAAATAAAATATTTCTGATAATACTCGTTTTGGCGCCATTTTTTCAAAATTAGCCGTATTTCCGGTAGGAAATTTTGTTGGGAAGTGAAAAATTCAGAATCAGCGACCCAAAAAACATAAGGTACACTTATAGAACTAAATCTGACTATTTTTTTCCCGGTAATATTCTCTAGTGCTTGGAAAGTAACAAGTAACAGTATGGACGAAACCGGGTCAATAATGACGTTCTTTTTAGTAAGCAAAGTCAAAGTTAGAATGTTGAAAACAATTTTCCCTCTTTGCAGTTTTTTTTTGGTTATAATTAAATGCGTGTTGCGGTAGTAGCCAAAGAAGTAGGTGTTTTCCGAAGGAAAACGGTGGCTCATATTATTTCGTAACACATTGCTTGGAGAATTTCTTGTTTTTCTTTATTTTACGTATTGGTCAATTTTGAGTATGAAATTATTTTATTGCTCGCGGTATATTGTAGGTATGGATCAATTATGAACAAAAACATATTTTGTCTGGTACTTACGGATTACCTATTTAGGTACCTACCTACCTAAATGTTTTACAATTTTTCGAGAATCAGTTAAGAGGGGAGAGAACAGGGTGCAGTTGTTTAAGATGAGCCCTACATTGGCATCTGTGATATTTACTAATACAGTTAAAGAGACTGTTGATCATAAGTGAATATTATCAATAATGTTATGCATGCGAAGGAAAAGGCTATTAAAATAAATAAATGTAAAAAAATAATTTGGCTCTTTTAAAATTTTACAGAATTAAATACCTGTTACAATTTTCTGTAATAAATAACAAACATAGGTACTAAATTTAATCAAAACATAATCACAATAACACAATTCACGTAGGTAAATAATCTTGGCATGCAAGTCCCACAAAATCTTAAGCTGACAAATCCAAGGGATGCTGCGATTCGAGAGAAAATAAGGTTAATACCTACCTCATCCCATTTGATGAATTTCTCCCCGCTCTGCAAAGCTTCGGGAACCTCGATGGGTTTGAGGGATACCGCATTCGTGGAGCCCAACGTGGGTCCGGGTTTCCCTGCAGCTGGTACAGACATGATAATACCCGACCAAAATATAAATAAATCCACTTATCCGCACATCATTGACACTTATTCTTATCTAAACGTAAACGGCACATTGTTATCGATAGCACTGGTGATACCGCGCTGTCAGTCAATTGTCGAGCTCCTGCGAGGTTACCGATAATTTTTTTCGGCTCAAAAGCTCTGCGTTATGTTTGAAAAAGAGTGTTTTTGCGATTTTCTCATGTAAAACGACCGATTAGTCGTCACCATCTTGTTCCTACTACTGCTGCCGCGGATTGTCGTGGATCGTGGAGAAATTCAGACCAGGTTGTTGATTAGCGGCGTTGCCGGATCATGCAAGAAATGCTAAGAGTTGAAGTAGCAGGAATACATATGCAAATAGATTACTTTCAGGATTGAAAATTGAATAGGTAGCTTGTTCGTGCTTTTAAAGCAGTAATAAACACTGTTAAAATAGGAAATAGGTTTTGAACGCTATAATGACTTCTGGATTATTACTTTTCTCGTGAATACTATTATTTTGTGTCAAATAAATTAAAAGTATAATAATTGGTTGGTCTATTTTTAGGTATGTTTATATTTTTATATTTTCTTTTTTATATAGGTATTTTTATTTTGACAACTACCTTACTTTTTTAGTTATCGACCGTTACTTTGAAATTAAAAAATATTGCAAATGATATCGATGTAGACTAGGCCGACAACCCCGTATAATTTTAACAATCTTTTTAATTTAATTTTTTTCTCTCTTTTACTTTTGAAAATTAGATAATATTTACAGTTACCTGTTTAGTTTCGATTAAATTATAATACTTTCACCATTTTAAATAAATAACAAAAAATGCATTTTTCATGTTTTATTTGTATACAGTGTCCACTTAAATTCGCAGCATATGGGAAACTTTTTTATTATTAACTTTACGAAAAAAAGTTATTCTTCATAAAGAGTTCAGCATGGTCTGAAACCTAAAATGCAACCGTCAGATATAAAAATTTTACAATAGTATACGAGGTATATCAAAAATATGAATTTTGCTGAATAGTAAAATTCCTTTATTTTTGATACACCTCGTATATAACTGAAGGCACTAGAAAAGTTTAAAAAGAGAAGATTTCAGTTAAGTATCATGATTTCTAAATAGGAGTTTATGTGTAACGCCGGTTTTGTATTTTCATACTAGATACCTAGTTAACAGCTCTACTTAAAATATGTTTCGAACACAAAAATAACTCAAAAATCCATCTACAAACCAGAGCTGGGTAATTCCTAGTTAAAAAGTAATTAATAATTACAATTACGTTTTTCATGTAATTTGTAATTGTATTTAAGTACTTTTTTAAAATAATTTGGAATTATAATTGCCGCAAAATATGTGAATGAATTGTACTTTGTAAATATATTAATTTATATTAAATTGTCTAAATACAATTACTTGCCATAAGTACAATTACGTTTACAATTACAATTACTTTTCCAATTACAATTACATTTATAAGTACAATTACATTTTTTTATTTACAATTACTTTTAAATGCGTGATTATGAGATGCACGTGATATAAAAACGTGAGATAAAAAATTATTACCTATGTGACACTTCATTTGAAAGCTAATTTTATTAGTACTACAACCAAAGATATTATAAATAAAGACTTTTTTGATTTCAATGATGGCTTAACACCTTCAGTTAGACAAAAAAATGGGGTACAGTTAGAAGTGTAACAATATCTCGATGATTTAAGAAAAAATATTACGATGCTAGAGAAAAGTGTGTTTAAAATATAATACGGATCTTACTTCTTCTGGGCCCGTTAAGAGATTATTCTCCTTTGCCACAATTGTCAACGCTCCCAGAAGGCATACCTACCCTGTCCGAGCCCGATAGAAATTTTGAAAAACTTGTTATGAAAAGTAACAATGTAAAGATTTTATGAATAATTATAACTAGATCTTGCAAATCATGCATCATTACTGTTTGCCTGCTTGATGAAGAGAAAAAAATATTAATAATTTTACACCAAATACTTTTCTTACATTCTGTGGTCTACTCTTGTTAAAAAAAATTTGTTTCAAGGGTATGATATTTTAAAAATTAGTTTTAAACTTTTATGAAGTATCCCAAGCTTAAACGACAAAAATAAAAAGGTATCACATAATTTTTGACGAGAGTTGATTACCGCACCGAATGTAAATAAAATATGTAGTGTTAACTATTTTATCCTTTTAATTAAACGGCCCCAGACTAATGATGCCCGATTTGAATGGTATGATTAGGAAAAATATAAAACTGGCTATGCGTAGGTATACATAGGTATACACGAACTTTTGTATGTTTGTTCCAAATCAATAAACTTTTAAAAGTTCTCATTTTATTATTATCTTACCTGTTTCATTTTTTATATTACTTATCGATTTTGTCTTTTCCCTTAAGTTAAGAAGACCCTAAATGGTATAGAAAACAATACCCTTATGGCTGGTTATATAAAGATTACTTAAAATTAAGCTCAGTTTTAGGTGATACATGTCAATTTCCGATGCTATACTATGTGCAGCCTAATGTTTGGGAAAACAAGCCCTAAGTGCTAAGTGGTGTTTAGACTGGTACCTATATGCCATACAATATTATTGTCATGTGTCTCCTCAAACCGAGTTTAACTTTAAGTAAGATTTATACAACCCGCCCTTAAGATATTTTTAACTTTAAGGAATCCTTAAGAAAGTCGATGCAAACGGCTGTTAGTTTGACACTTTGAATTACCTATTTAAAAATTTTATTTGTACCGGTCTGGTTGGTTCATGGTTCCTCAATTCTATCATAATCTGTTGTTTTATCGGCAAAGTAATTAGAAAAGTAATTGCTAATTATTTACTTTGTATTTGTAATTAATTCCATTTTTGAAAAAGTACTTTGTAATTGTAATTATTTTTAAAGTACATTTAATTACCCAGCTCTGCTACAAACAATATTATCGCTTTTCTATAATTTATTGATATAGATACGGGACGAAATTTATGAATGATTAAAGGTACCATTTGGATAGACGAGCGAAGACCGACTTCAAGCGACAGGCAGCAAGCAGCAAATTCTACCGTGCTAAAACTGCTGACGGCCGTGGCACCTTATCAAATGTGTTTCATGTAATTACACGTGTTCAGGCGTGAAGAGACCGTTTTCGGTCTCCTTCGCTGTCGTTTTACGCTTGAAGTCGGTCTCGGTCGCGCCTTCTCAAATAATGGTAGCTTAACCATTCATGTTACTGAATGATTCCTGAAAAATTACTTTTAGGGAATTACCGCGCATAGAGCCGGCAACCCCGCTTGTTTAGAGATGTGCTGCTAAAATCGCTGGTGTCCGTTGGCCTATCGACGATGCGAGCGCACCCGCGCATGTCTTCTGAGACATGAATGACCAGACAGACCGACCGGTGGGCCGAATTTCAAAGACACTGGACAAATCAGAGTTATTGAAATATATTTCAAGCCCTTTTGGAATAAATACCTAGTTATAAAAACTAGTAGGTAGCAAAAAGTTCTTACGCTTTTTAGATCAATTAACTGCTCATTGCTAAAAAATTTAATCTTTACTAGATTGTCTATTGAATACCTGCCTAGGTAGGTAATTTCAATAATTATTAATTATTGTAATTTCTACATTTAAAATTTAATAGAAAAAGAATTAAGGAAAACGTGATCGGACACTTAGTAGTGATATGAAGCAGAGGACAAAGGGATTTAAAATGTATTGAAGTGGCGCAAGGCACAGAACAAGTTAAAGTGGATAATAAGGTCGACATATGATGATAACATTTAAAATGTTTTTGTTGTATTTATCGTTTAAATGTTAAATTCATCTTTTATTAAATCATGTTTTGTTATAAGGTGAATTAAATTACTTATAAAACTTTTTAATGAAGTTTCACACTTTTTTACAATATGTAACAATTTTTTATCCCACTAGAGAGCGCTAAAATGAAAGTAACGCAATGAATGGTCATTTTGCTAAATTTTCTATAAAACTATCTTTAAAATAATGTGTCACTTGACTCCCTTCACTTTTAAGATTCTAAGAGTTGAACCACGAGGACCCAAAACATTCATTGAAATAAAATTGACGTGTCTTTTTGATTTTTCATATTATATTTACTGGAAGGGTGGGAAGTTTTCAAATTGCATGATACCTACCCATGCAGTATATTGTGTTTCACTTTAATTGTTCTGTTTTAAACCTTTGGACTTTTTTGTATAAAATTGGTTTCTTTTATTTTAAAGCCAAACAATTTATTCCAATATAGGTAATAAATACTATTCACAACCAGCAATATCAATAATTTGAACATCTTAAGTAATAGTTTCTCTTTAGGATTATATTTCCTTATTAATTGAGAATATAGAGTTAGTTATTACAAAAACCATTAGAAGACTAATTGTTTATAGTTAAATAAATATATCTTACATCTTAGCCCTCTTCTTGATAAAGATATAATATTAAAATAAAGTGCACACTTCTAAATTTGTGTTTTTCTCTTCAAGTCTTTTGTCTATTGCATAAAAATAAATATGTATAAGTACTCAAATAATGTTGCCCCGTTATGTTGGGGCTAAATTGGACCCTTATTACTTTAAACAACACTACCAAATTTTAATAAAATAGAGTAAAGTATATTAATGATATTTATAAAAAACTGATTTAAAAAAGTTCATTTCCGAACATTGTTCATGATGAAATTTACATGTTTTATACTTATTTTAGAATCACCCCTAAAAATAATGGAACTGACTTCAGATTCAAAAAAAAATGATATTCGCCTTTTTTGGCATGGTTTTTCGAACTTTGGACTAAAATGGCTATTATGGCAACCATTTATAACAGCGACAACAAGCAATAAGAGTACATCGGTCAAAAAGACATTTTGTCATTAACAATTAATTTTATTGCAGTTAAGGTTGTTTTGGGTAATTGTTCCTTGCTAATTGAATTGTGCAATTACTTTTCTCGGTAATGATAATTGCAAGTACCCCAAAGTGCTTCTTAGTGCTTGATGCTGGCAATTACTTTTCTAAAGGGCCTCTTAGTGCTAGAAACACTTTTTCTAGTGCTTTGTCCAGCTCTGTCAGCCTTTCAGCTCGTCAAAGTCCTGCAACTTAACGTCGCCGAGAGGTGTCTCTTAGAAGACCCACTTTTGTAAGTGGCATTGGTGGATTTTTACCACCTCGTTGGTAAATTCCCTGTGGGAGATGTTCTGGTTCGACCACTCCACAGATCGATCCTCTAGGGGCATTTTCTAGGACCTGCTCGTCAAATACCTGTTGGTTGTCGACGAGAGGTGTCTGGGGACAGCAGCTAGTCCTGGTCTAAAAAATACAATTATTTCTATTCTAAGTTCATTCAAACACTCGTAAGATTAGGATTCATTCATTAGGCATTGATGCTCACTGTGCAATGCCGCTCACATTTTCCAAATTTTCTGCGGCTCCTATTTTCTCCATCATTCTATCCATTTTTCACAATTCCATCCATTTTTTCAGAATTCTATGGCATTTATAAAAGCAGGAATGATTTTTATATGTTTGGGTTTTAGGAAATACTAAATGAATCGTTTATTTCAGAAACAAGCTAAGTCAATTTTTGTCCATATTGGGTTTATCACATTAACATTGTAGTTTCAGAGTAACACACGTTTAATGCAGAAAAACCTGAAAATTCCCAAAAAATGACTTACCTATATAAGTTGTTCCTGAAATAAACAATTCAAATATACTTAAGTTTAGATTTAAAAACGTGGCATTTGAGTAAAAAGTGTGGCATTTAGGTAGCAAACGTGGCATTTGGATACTTTTGGCGTGACGCGTGGCAGCAAGTGAAAAAGCGTGTGGCATCTCTGGGAACCCTATTTACCTATAAAACGCAACTAAATAATAAAGCAATTTACAAGTTAAAAAGTACTCCTAAATTAAGACATTGCATTTAAAACTAAAATAAATACAAAGTTGCGCGAAAGTCCGGAATAAAATTATCAGTTCAACCAACTTAAAAAAAACGCTGAAACACGTGAATTGATTTTACATTGGATGTATTTGTTGCCAATATAATGAATTTTTTTTCTTCAACCCCCTAGCTGCAACGCTACCCAACTTTTTTTTCAAATGCAAAGGTATGTCGTGTGTAGGGTCATTGGAAAGCTCGCGAAAAATGGTATCTCACCATACTTTTTTTTTCTTTTACTTATGTGGTTATAGGAAAATGAGAAAAAATTCTTTTAAATACAAAAAAGTTACCTTTTTAGTGCTATCGATGGGTGGTTTAACGTAGCAGATGTTGAAAATGTCCTCCACCCTCTACTTACGTTAATTCACTCCATGGAGGAAGGATATTCACTCTACGATAGCGCTAAAAGAAAAATACTGATCTATTTGAAATAACAAAGTTCATTATATTTCCAGAAAAACGAAAAATCTGACAACAATGTAAATATACCAAAGTATATAAAAATCGTGCAAGCCGTTTCAGAGAAAATTGAGACGAGCGTTCCATACTTAAAACTCACTCTGTATAAATACGGCAAGGGAACACAATTCTAATTTATTTCTAAAATAAATGGCAACTTGGACAAAATGAACTAGGTGCTTCCATGACCATGCCACTTTCATAGTAAAGCTCCATTGGTTCCATATTTATCAAGGGGCGGCTCCAGACTGAATTTTCGGTGGGGGCCATGCCAATATTTTTTTTTTAAGATAGACACGATTTTTTTTATTAGGTCCTCCCAATGACCTTTTCTTTTTGTGCTCCGTTGTCTACACATAAGGCGTACAAACGTACTAGACCTTTTTTTGTTGTAACAATTTTAACCTCGAGGGGGGGCATGGGTCCTTGAGACCCAACACAAATCGCTGTACATATGGTTACCCCATAGACATCATATTGATATCTTTGGGTAACCCTAAATAAAAGCTCATCAATTGAGTAAAAATTTTAATCTCGGGGGCCTTGGACTCGGCCCTCTGCCATACACTTTCGACTAAGAGGTCGAGAACTATCGATAGTATGAACTATCGAATACTATCGATATTTTTCATGAACTCTGGCTAGTATTCGATAGCGCCCTAAGCTACAAAATTAGAAGTAGAACCCCTCTTTTTGTGTAAATGAAAATCTATTTTCGCAAAACAGAAAAAGCGAAAAGGAAAAACGTGGTCATTGTTTAGTATTTTTGGGTGTCTGTTTCAAACATAAACAATTTAGTTCATGTTTGTAACTATTAGATATTTGTAACAATGGAAAGATTCTTGTTTAATGAAAGCAAAGGTAAGAAGTATCAACATTATTTGTATAACCGTATGGCTAATTTTATCCACTCTCAAATTTGCCTAGATAGTAAAAAAGGATGATGCTTAAACTTCAATTTTTTCAAACTTATTTGCCACTCCAAGTCGCAAAACTTTTATAAAGGTCTTGAGCACTTATATATCCTGATTTTGGTACAGAAAACTGTTTTGATAGGTTTGTTTTATAAATATTTAATTATTTAAATGGTGTAAATGCATATTTGTTTCAGTATTTCCATGTTTATATAGACAAATTATATGATGCGGCGTTAATTTACTGTAATAATAAAAAAAATAAAATAAATTGCATTTAATTTCAAGTTTGAAATTAATGCAAAAATATAATGAAGTAAAATCAAATAAAGATATAAATTGGTAAAATATTTGACTAGTTTCAAATCACAAAACAGGTAATATGGTTGTTTTATGATTTGAAACTAGTCAAATATGTTTCCAATTTTTTTACTTTATTTGATTTTCTTCATTGCATTTTTGCGCGACTACAAAGTTCAATTTCAAAAAGCCCGCTCGTGGCGGCCACATTGAATTTTAGTACCACTCCAATTTGATAGATGGCAGCACATCGACTCAGAATTTTACCATTGAGTTTCTCATCTATTCACATTAGTAATCTATGGCCTGGAATAAGAAACTTTTCGACTTCGTAGTTTTTGGCCTGAGTTGTTGAAGAAATCCAGTTAAAAAAGAATACTCATGTAAACCTTACCAGGTGAAAGGCGAGAAAGTAAAATCAAAGAGAAGGTAGGGTATAGAGAAAGTAAAAGTTGAAAAGTCTTTTGGTAGGTAGAGAGGGGGTAAACGTCAAACCACGTCGGGCGGCTCCGAGAATTTCACAGTAATGTTTACCTGCCAGTGTCGTTTCATAGAATAAGTAATTTTAAATTGTTATCGGCGGAACCGGACAATCGCATGTATTTATGGATTATAAATAATTATTAAACATGTATTATAATATTCAAATTATAATTTTACAAAATTTCAACAGCTATTCACAATTTATTAAACTATTTACTCGAAATTGTTATTAACATCTATAAAATAATTTTGTACGCCAATGTATCGTGTCCACTTCGGTTATATTCGCTGACAACCTGTCAAGTTATGTGTATAAAGTGGGAGAACTGGCAAAAGCATTTCCAACTTTTACCTCTGTTCTAGAACTGTTTAGTTGCAGACATAAGAGGCAGCAATAAACTCAAGTTTACATTCTCAGTATTCTCACCTCTTGTCTTTCGGCACTTCAACTAATAAAAGAAAAGATAAAAATCTACATTTTAATACATTGCATAATAAATACACATATAAAACGTTGCCGATCGAACATAATAAGGGACGAGGATGGACCATAGATCATGTCTATGGGATGGACTACTGTAATATCTATTTATTCTGAATTTTGAAAGATAATTTAATAGTCTTCTTTTCTAGTTTTACCTTTTCTATATAAGCATTTGATCATTGTTTGTTTTGACGTGTGTTTGACGTCTGCAAATCACGTAACCTCATTTTCTTTATTGATTTTATTCACCGATTTGTAATGTACTAACTTTATTAAATTTTTTAATCATATACCTATTAGGATATCAAGAAAAGACTTAAAAAATGACTTTATACCACTTTGGAAACTGCGTCGCATTAATATACGTACCCTACTACTTAACCTACAAGTCATCAGGATTGTAAGTTTTTATAAATCACAAGAAAATATTTTAATGAGCTGAGTTTAATTTTCGTATTGTAGATCCGAATATGGAGCTTTCTGGAAATGCATTCAAGCTGGTTTGATTTATATGGTAACGCAGTTAGCGAAAATGTTAATACTAGCAACCTTTTTCCCAGATAATGTATCAGAATTAGGAAGTGATTTAGTAGGGGTAAGAATGGTTTATTATGTCTAAAATCACGTTAATTTATTTTTTTTAGGAGTTTTTAAAATCTACTGTAGACTTAGCAGATTTGGCAGGTTTGTATCTAGTTCTTTCTGGTATACCAGGAAAAGGACACAGTAAAGTTCTCACAGCTGGAATTGGCTGGGCAACTGCTGAAGTTATACTGTCTCGAGCTTTGCTTCTTTGGGTGGGTGCCAGAGGTGCAGAATTTGACTGGATATATATTCAGAAATGTCTGGAATCAAATATTTTACTCATCCAACATATAGTAACAGCTACTTTAGTCTGGTTGTGGTCCAGACACGATTTAAAACAGAACATCAGATCAGCCGTTAGTATTTTATTGCTGTTGACTTCTTATAAGTCTCTGCTATTAGATTTGTTGATCAGTGGTATTGGTGCAAACGCCTGGGTTGGATTGCTAATGAAGGCTACAGTTACTATCGTATATGGACTTTTTACTCTTGTAATATATGCAGGTCTTGCTCAAGTTATAGGAATTTTTTAGACAAAAGTTCATCAATATTTATTTCATTGTTATTAATTTTATATTTATCATGATTTTAGTTTTTAAGTTTATTATTGTATGTTTAAATTTAAATAACTGCTTTTCGGTGAAAATAAAAATTTGTAATAAAATAAACTTTAAAATTATAAATTTATTTTTGGCTTTTGTCCTAAGTCACTACACAGCCAGGGTTATTAAAATTGTTTCTTATTTCTGGCCTCTTGTCTTTTGGTAGGAGTGGAGAAACTCCCAGCAAACATTTCTCTAGAGGGAAAGTGAAGTGAACTGAGTTTGTAGATGATTGTTGTTATCGACACATAAAGAGGTAGTCAGAGAACACTTACTCCAGGGGGTCGATTCTCGACTCATAGGAATTTTTGACATTTTTATATACATCGAAAATTTATGACATTTTCCTACATATAGGAAAGTGTCACAAATTCCTATAGGAAAAGGTTCCTACAAGTCGAGAATTGACCCCCAGGTAGTGTTGAAGTGAGGACCACAGATCACTTACTTACTTACTTTGTGTTGTGAAGCCTGAGGAGGTATAGCATATAGTAGAAGTTGAAAAGGCTTTTGCCAGTTCTCCCACTATACACATAAATTGACAGGTTTGCGGCGAATCTAGCCGAAGTGGACGCGATACATTGGCGTACAAAATTATTTTATAGATGATAATAACAATTTCGAGTAAATAGTTAAATAAATTGTGAATAGCTGTTGATATTTTGTAAATTTATGATTTGAATATTATAATACCTACATGTTTAATAATTATTTATAGTCCATAAATATATGCGATTGTCCGGTTCCGCCGGTAACAATGTAAAATTACTTATTCTATGAAACGACACTGGCAGGTAAACATTACTGCGAATCTGCGAAATTATCGAAGCCGCCCGACGTGGTTTGACGTTTACCCCCTCTCTACCTACCAAAAGCCTTTCCAACTTCTTTGTGCAAGCAAACAGCAAACATCTGTGAAGCAAACTCTGGTTCAGTAGCGTATCATTTCTTTGTAAGGATAAGGATACACGTCTCATTTATTTGAACAAAGTCCCCTATTTTTACCATTTTCAATTTTTATATACACATAAATTGACAGTTTTGCGGCGGAAATAACCGAAATTATTTTATAGATAATAACAATTTCGGGTAAATAGTTTAATAAATTGTGAACAGATGTTGAAATTTTATAGGATTATGATTTGGATATTATAATATTTGTTTAATAATTATTTATAGTCCATAAATACATGCGACTATTCGGTACCGCCGGTAACAATTTAAAATTACTTATTCGATACTGGCAGGTATAGAGAAAGTAAAAGTTGAAAAGTCTTTTGGTAGGTAGAGAGGGGGTAAACGTCAAACCACGTCGGGCGGCTCCGAGAATTTCACAGTAATGTTTACCTGCCAGTGTCGTTTCATAGAATAAGTAATTTTAAATTGTTATCGGCGGAACCGGACAATCGCATGTATTTATGGATTATAAATAATTATTAAACATGTATTATAATATTCAAATTATAATTTTACAAAATTTCAACAGCTATTCACAATTTATTAAACTATTTACTTGAAATTGTTATTAACATCTATAAAATAATTTTGTACGCCAATGTATCGCGTTACCGCGAAATTCTCGAAGCCGTCCGACGTGGTTTGACGTTTACCCCCTCTCTACCTACCAAAAGCCTTTTCAACTTCTGCACCTGCTATATTTCATTATTTTTAAAGTTGTCTGTGTATAAAAGTGCCATAATGTGTAAGCTAGATTATTTTTATCAAAAACAGAAAGTATTTGTCTAACCAAATTCAAAAATAGGAAATACCTACAACTCCTATACCTATCTCGACCATCCATCAACGAACGCACCAACCAAACGTCCAAACCAGTGTCCAAACGTGAACCCAACATCTGTTCGAGTCGAGGTGAAATTTGGCATCGTCGCCGAAGTTTAGATGGATCTGCAAATGTCAGGAGCAGAGAAAAGAAAATAAACAGGTTTTTTTCGAAGAAGCAATCTTATAAATAAGGTAGAATTATCATTAATTTATAAAAAGTTAACGTTATGCCGTACGATATTCAAAATTCGTAGTTGTCACTTTAGAGATCTTATATTTAAATACGCAGTTGATTGTATTTTTAGAATTTCACATTATTCTATTGTGCTATGGATGAAAATATGTCTGATGACGAAAGTCGGGAGAAAAGTTCTAATAAGACGGAAAAACCGAAGCGATTAAAGAGCGACGGTGACGCTGGGGGTTCGTCTGTGGAGGAGTCTTCCAGCTCGTCTAGCAATGTAGAGCAAGTGGACGAAAGTCAAGAGATCTTAACAAAAAAGGCAGAAAATCCGAAGAGGTTGAAGACAGAAGGAGAATCTGGGGGTTCGGTCGAAGAGTCGTCCAGTTCTTCTAATAATATAGAACAAGAAACGGCAAGTACTAGCACGGACAGTGGATTTCCTAGGTCTAGAAATTCCAAAAACCGGAATTACAGAAATCATTCCAGCAATGGTGAAAATCGTCGAAATGTAAGGTTAGTATTTCTTGCAATCTTTCCTATAACGTTTTACAAATATCCTCCCTTATTTGAACTAATATAGCTAACTATAAAAGCTTCTCATTTGTGAAAGAAATGTTCTGGAATCTATAATAAACACAATGACAAGCAAATTTAAAAATAGGTTGAGATTCAATTTGCAACAATAAATTATCCGAGTTTTGGGATTCAGAAGTTCTAAACCTTGAATAATTATTATTAGACCTTTGTGAGATTTTTATTTTCAATTAATGTTTAAAGCCAAAAATACTGCAACTTCTAAGTGAATAATTTATGGTAATTGTACCTAGATTAACATTTATTTATAGATTAGTAAACAAGATTATTATTTTTTCTTAAAATTAATTATTATTTCTGGCTATTAATTATTTATTTGGTATTGTATTTTTGTTTGATTATACTTAAATATTTATTTAATAATTTTTAATTATCTAAGTTTCTGTTTTTTAAGGATAATTTAATTATCTAGTATTTTTGATATCCCTAATTTGAAAATGACCAAGAAGATCCTAGGTATACTGATTAATAATTTAACTTTGTCAATTGCTTATAATTAACATAGTCAATAGTGTAATGACAGTTGACAAAAATGGATCAAATCTGTAATCCAATAATAATCATTCACAATATTGAAAGTAAGTGCCTAAATGATTGAGATAGATTAAAAACTAAGAGCAAAAATTGAGGTGACAAGTATATTTTCAAACAGGTGGTAAATATACTGCCCTGTTAATTCAAATGGCCATATCTGTTTACGCTCAAATTTCTAAGTGTTAAATCTCAGATTTTATAGAATATATATTCATGAAAATATAAAAGATAAACAAAAAATTCATTGTTGTCATGCGTAGTGGTCATATCTTTATTTAAAGGAAAATTGCAGTTATGGCCATTTGAATTAACACAGCAGTATATAACAAGTTGACTGAGATGCCAAATTTAAATAACATTTTCAATGTGCCATGCATGCTGTATATACATTGTCATGATTTTTTGTCAATGTATGGCACAAGCCTGTAATGACATGTGCAGGTGTCCTTCTTAGGTTATTTTCACACATGCCTCCATAGGCATGTACTGCACATAGGGCAAGGAGAAAAGAAATATGTTCTTTATAGATAACTCATTTGTTTATAAAAGGAACTAGATGTGCCAATCTTTATGTACTTTGACCTCCTGAATTAGATGCTACCATCAGAATTTTTGTCTTAGATTTTTGTATTAAAAATCAAAAATAACTGCATTTTTCACAAGATTTACCAAACACATTGTTCGTTTTGAACATTATTGTAGCACATTAAAACCGGACTGACCTGCTAATGTTTACAAATGCTGCCACATTTCAACATGTGAGACAGAAACACATTAACTTACAATTCTCATTCAAATCAGTTAGAGAAGTAGAGATTATTTTCCTGCTGCACATGCCGAAAACAGCATATGTCGTAGTCAAGGTGTTAAGTTGAAGTCCTAGTTCTCTTGGACAACTTGCAAAAGATACTAATGTATCATCTGCATATTTGTGGAACAGTGTGGCCTCAGAATTTATTTATTTATGGGTCAGAGCCCATTAAAACAATACAATTTAAGGGCCTATTGTAAAAATGTGATAAGCCACATTTTTTTTTAAATAAAGGCATTTTTACTTCACGACAAGAAAAAATAAGGTTACAGAAGCTTGAACCAAATGGAAATTCTCCAACAAATACCATAATTAGCCAAAAAATCAAGTTATTGCATTTTAACAAAGTTGCAGTCGTTATAGAAGTTTTTTTTAACCTCTGAAGACATGTTTCCTTAAGATATTAATATTGTGGCCTATCATGTTATTCCAATAAGCTCTTCAATTACAGAGAATACATATCACATTAATTAAATAGTAATAAAATCCTAAATAATAATAAATTAATTTAAAATATATACATATTAAGAAACAATAAAAAATCTAACATCTATTCCTCACATATACATAAATGGTTAGAAAATTCTGATGGAGAAATAATCCATTCTGCATTTGGTCTATTAGCAGATCTTGTCACTCTAGGATTAAAAGAATGAGAACCATAATTTGTTCTATGGAAAGGTTGGGAGAATGTATTAATATTCCTAGTTACTCTAGTGCAACGGTTCTCAAACTTTTTTGGCAAGGGAACCCTTTTGAAAAGAGAAATATTTGACGGAGCCCTAAAATAATAAAAATTGATTTTCAAACTTTACATAGGTTTTATTTTACTTTGCAACCCTGGGGCATTTCTTATAAAAAAACAAAAAAAGTTCCTCAAACCAGGTCCTCCCTTTTGCTGTGAACTTCTAAAAACATAATGATGGCTTAGAGCACAAATGTTGTATGTCCAAGAATGTAGTTTTGAGTAAAATCGATTTGAAAGTTGGAGGTGACTATGACGAGCTGTAGAATTTTAATTAGCATTACTTTGCTGAACGCTAAACCTATTTAAGTGGATGTACTATATTTGGAAACCATAAAGATTTCATCATGAAGGATATAGAATCCTACCTATCCCATTTTTGACAAAAATGGACATATAATATTTGTGCTCTTAACCATCGAAATACGTCCTCAGCTAAAGCTGCCGGGAATATTATGACTATTATTTTCGCGGAGCTCCCACAGAGGATTTGCGGAGCCCCAGAGCTCCGCGGAGCAAACTTTGAGAAACGCTGCTCTAGAGGGTACAGACAATCCAATGTGGCATAACAAATAAGGACAATCAGCAGATGAATTAATAATGTTAAACAATATTTTAAGATCCCTTTCTATTTTTTAAATCTGTTCTATATTATGGATTAAATATACATAAAAAGGATTCCATACAGCGGAAGCATATTCAATATAAGGTCTAAGGCACAGTAAAGAATCTTTAAAAACATCACATTATGAAAATCAGGAGTAGTTCTTCTAAGGAAACCCAACGTTCTTAATGCTTTATTAACTGAGACTGTTATATGAGTTTGAAAAGAAAGGGGGGAATCTAGTATCACACCCAAATCTTTTTACCTCTGTAATAGTATCTAGTGTTAAGTCATTGATTTTATAGATATATTCAATAGGACTGTTTTCTGTTGAAATTGATTGCATGACATTTACTTGCAAGAAAAATCAATGGCCCAAGGATTTAAATCCTGTGGAATACTTTAACCAACAGATTTGTAATGTTCAATTTTAACACAGATTTTTAAAGAGTTGAGATAAGATTAAATCCAAGATAGATATATAGCCTAAGATCTGAAGTAAGGTCGACCTTCACCCATCTGTTTAATGAATGAAAGTTTCTTTTTATTACATAAAATATATTTATAAATATACCGCAAATGGGTTGCCTAAGAAAATACGGTCCAGACTATTTTTTTTCTTAAAGTAAAAAAAAACGACTCCCTGTAAAGTATTCCCCAGATGCTTCAACTATGCCCAAACTTTAATCAGCTCACCGCAGGATGGATTAAAGCTTAAGTTTAAAATTTGGTGTTTTTCTCTTCATCCGTTTTTGAGTTGTCTTCAAAATTCGAAATTTGCACTTTTGCTCAAATATCTCGAATTAGGTTCATTTTAGGAAAATCATGTATATGAACAAAATAATAGATAATGACACCATAAACAACTTTTATCATGATTTTTATACTTTCTTTATCTGTACACAGAAAGGATAGTAAAAAATGGCCGTGACCATATTTTCTTAGGCAACCCATTTGCGGTATATTTAAAAACATATTTTATTTAATAAAAAATAAGTTTTATCCATTAAACAGATGGGTGAAGGTCGATCCTACTTACGGATCCTGGACTAATATTAGATTTGATTCACAGATAGATGTCTGACATTTTTGATTTTTTTTTGAATCCAAAAGATATTTCAATATTTATCTCATTGTTATAAATTATTTCTTATTGGATGTCTATTTTTGAGATTGTAATGTATTCCACATTTAACAAGATTACTATGTATTATAGAAATAAGAAGAAAAAAAATGAGGCAGTCATTGAAGACTGCTGACAGAAGTGAAAACTTAAAACTATCAAATTAACAGTGCATGGTATACACAGGTTAAACTTTTTACGTAGTAAATATAACACAATATCTAACCTTTCAGGAGGACAGAGAACGCGTGTTAATAAGAGACATGTGCAGTGTTACCGATCTGATTTTTGACATTACCAGCGAAAATTAAAAAAAAAAACGTTTTTACCCGTTACCCTTAAAGGAGTACGTCAAAATTTTACCCTCAACATTTCAGGGCAGTTTTTAATAAAGGTGTTCAATTATTTAAAAAATAAAACACAGTTTACAGCATTTATTTTAGGTTTTCTTTTTTGTTGATAAACATATTATGAGATTGTCAAATGTGAAATATCACTACTGTCACTATTCATTGCGTTCGTCTTCTTTTTTTCTCTCAAGCCGTGCCAGTTGGATCAACTAGCTTTACAGTTGGGTTTATGAATGTATTTGTGCATCATGTACGCACGCCACTATGCGCGCACCAACAGTTCTATATATACACTCAATATACTTCCACTGCTGGGTATGCGCATACGTCATACTTATAGCTTAAATTGACCATCCGTCCCGATTTAAGTGGGACAATCCCGATTTAACATTGTCCCAATTGTGTCCCGCTTTTGTCCAATTCATTTAAAAAACGTCTGTTCCGATTTTGGCCGCTCTTGTCCGTTTTTGTCCACTTTTGTCCGATTAAAAACAATTTTGTCACGCTTTTTTCCGATTATAGTGACATTTTTTTGCTCTTCAATGGACCAATCGACATTACTGCAAAAAAATAGAATTCGTCTTCATCGACGTCTTTCGATTTTTTAATTTTTCGATTTTACGATTTTTCGATTTGTCCCGCTTTTTTACTTTTCAAAATATGGTCACTTTATTATACTATTATTAACATTAGCATGTCGGTGCTGCAAGCTGGAAAAATTCACAGAAAATGTATAAAAATCTATTGTTTTAGGGTAGTGAGTTATGCACAACTGCAAATAGTTAAAAAAAAAAATTGATGGACAAAAAACCTTTTGTTTGTCTTCAATGAACAAAATATATTTTGATTGTTTTTAAATACATATAACTATGTAGAAATTAACTATATTAGAATATGAATGTGTTTATATGATGGCTGAGTTATATCCCTTAAGACAGCTGCGTCCCTCATTGTCCCATTCATATCCGTTTTTTTTTTGTAAAAGGCAAGTGAACCATATTTGGTCCACAATAACTCAGCTTATGTGTCTCTAAAACTGTGGACATAATAGGTATGTTTGTCTATGATATTTTCTGTGTGAAATTTTAGTATGACAAAGTAGGTTTAGGTCGTCTGTGAGTGTTTAATTGTTTAAATACAAAAATATGTAAATACATTAACGACAGCATCTATATTTGAATATTTAAAAAAATGGACAAACCTCGATTAGAAAGTCTGCTCCTCAAATATTTTATGTGTTCTTTGATTATCCTGGTAAATGATGTATTTATGTATATTAACATTTTTTTTATTTATGGGCAAGTGCATTTAAATTACAATTTTAAAATATCTCAAATATTTATGGTGCTGTAGCACAAACAAAGATATTGTATATGTCTTACATTTTAAGAACATTTAAAAAAATAAAATAGGTTAGTCGAGTGTTAAAAAAAATACACACATTAAAAATATTAACTAAAGATCAGTATTAAGTAATTGAATTTTGAATGATGAAAAGGGTAAAGTTATGTGTAGGTTTACTTGACAGATTAACAAACAATAGCCCTATAGTTTAATCAGCAAGTAGTTACTTTCAACTTTACTCAGATGTGAAAAGATTGGCCCTTAATCTATAAAAAGGCACATACATTTTTTGCAGTTGCCTAGTTGAACGGGTTTGAACAAGAAGATTTCTTTTTTTAGTTCAGGACAATTGCATCTACCATTTATAATATTAAACTGCAAAGTAAGGTCTCTCTATTTTTGCCTAGATTTCAAGAAGGGTGTGTTCAGATGGTGAATTAAATTATTTATATATTTTTACTGGTGGATTATTTTTAATTTATATCAATTTATTCACAGGCGCTTGTACACTCCGCCGAATTTTGGCGAAGAACTGTTTTCCAGCGGCGACGAGGAACCACAAGAAGCGGTTGAAGATGATGAGGCCGATTCCGCTATGCATGAAGAAGATTCAGCGAACTTGGATGAACTGGATCCTATGAGTAATATGAGTTCGAATTCCACTGTCATCAATGATACGGATATCGATTCCGATGATGAGGAGCACCCAACATTAAAGAAAGAGTACCCCAAGCACAATTGGTTCATGGTGCCGGAGGTGCTCAACAGGCAATTAGGGTCTAGTTCCAAGTATCAGAGTGCTGATTTGTTTCAGAAGCGATGCTATGGCTCATTACGTAGTGTACATAGGTGAAAATTTATTTGTAAACGTTTTTTGTAGACACATTACAAACTAAATCAATTTCCTTTTACAGGTTAGAGTTAATGTACAAATTAGAAGGACACGATGGCTGTGTAAATAGTCTGAATTTTCATCCGCAAGGACATTTGTTGGCTAGCGGTTCTGATGACCTCAAAGTCATTCTGTGGGATTGGAAAATAGGAAAGCAATTACTGAAGTACGAATCTAGACATAGAGGGAACGTGTTTCAGACGAAATTTTTGAATCTATCTGGTGATTTACATATAGCGTCTTGTGCCAGAGATGGTCAGGTAAAAATATTTCTTTCATTTAACATATATTGTTTAATCGTTCACTGATTTTTCGTTCTTGATACAGGATGTTATTGAAATACATGCACACATTAAGAGTGTATGATATGGCATTTAATTCTAAAATTTAAAAATGGGTCATTTATGCATTACTTATTAAACCAACCTAATAAATTTACCAGTTGGTTAAAAAATAAAAAAAAAAGATTAAACCCACTCGCCTAAGAATATGAAACTTCGAAATTCAAATATCCAGTAGGACAAAAATATGAAAACGGAGTATGCCTATTTTAGTACATGTTAACGAAAACAAATAATGCATATTTAAGAGTGCACTACAATAAATATTAAGGCTGTTACCGCTCTTATTTGTAATGGACCCCATTACTCTAGAAATTAGGTCAGGAAATAAATCTATAAATTGTCGTATTTTGGCAGCTCCAATGTTTATTTAACCTTAAATTGTTCAATTGTATGTTTGGATTCAGTTACTACAAATTTACTGTCCGGAAGCCGTGAATAATATGTGCTCTAGTATTATATGTCTAAACATGAACGGCTAATATTAGTATTGAAATGTTACAGAAAACTTTTAGACACTTTGAAACACACTACTCATAACAATAATTTTGGGTCAGCGGACACTTATTTTTTTACCTTAAAAGCTTCAAAATTAGGGTTGTCCATTCTCGATCATTGAAAATTTTGAATTTAATCATTTTAATTGATTTATTGTTGTAAAAACAATAAACCATACAATTTTTTTTTTATAACAGTTTATAATTCCTTAAATTTTTTAAAACAGAAAGTATAATAGAATATACTTTATTTTCTTAAATAAACAATCAATTTTTAGCATCGTCAACATATCCAAAATAAAATTTATACATTGGTATTTCATTTAAAAGAGGTAGGGTGCCATCAAGTTAGACACTTTAGTTAAAATTATTTTAAATTCTTTTGTAGAGGCACTCAAATCTGCCTCATAAAACTCTTTGATTGAATAGACTGCAAGATCAAGTAATAAATACCTGATTTTATTTTTAAAATTACATTTTTTAAAAACTTTAGAGGAAGCTTATTATATGATAGAGTTGCATATAAAACTTTTATCAGTTAGTATTATTATTTTATTAATATTAAACATCAGTAAGTGGATAAACCGATGAGACTGATATAAAAATGAAAAATCACATTCATTAACTACAACATACATATCAACACATCACAAACAGAACAGTTATCACAATACATTGACTTATATCACAGTATTTTATCACACAAGTTATGTAGTATAATGGACCAGGATGTGTAAATTGAATTTGATGAGATAGTGTCCTCTTACATGTATAGAACCCAGTTGCTTATATAGCTTCTTCTTTGAAGCCTACTGCTCTTTTCCAATTTTTTGGATTCTCAATCGGTGTTGTGGTATTAACAGTTTTTTTCTTGAGTGGAGTGGTGTAAGACTAGTTTTATTTGTTTTTATATACAGAAAACAGTAATATATAAAGAGATGGAAATGTCAATATTTTTTGTTCTTTGAATAATGGTCTGTGACTCTAGAGGTGTAGTTTTTGTTATAACATGTCTATGAAATTTCCTCCTAGCAGTACCCCCTATGATAATTTACTATAAAAAAGACCAATAAAGACCGTTCTATAGACTTTATTTGTAGTGTACCATGATAATTTTCTGAGTAGAAATTAGTGTGTTTGATAGTTTTTTTGATAGACCTTCAATTTGTTGTTTCCAGTCGAGTTTGTTATCTAATGTTAGACCTAAAAAATTCGTAGATCTACTATTATTGATTGATTATTTTAAGATTTTCCAGATTTTGATTAATTCAATGAATATTTTTTATTTTAACAATCTTATTTATATACTATTTTTAATTCTAATGGAGCATTGGTAGATGCAAGTAGTTATAAGTTTCGTAAATTATTTTTGTTTTTGTACTTATACTCGTATATATTTTTTATTTCTTTCTTCTTTTATATTAACTTTATTGGGAGCATTGGTAAATGCATTTAGTTGTAGTTTCATTTTTCTTAGGAGAACATGTAATGAGGTTATAAAACCTGTTTGTTTTCTGTTAAATAAATAAATAAATAAATAAATTATTTTTATCTATTTACTTATTGATAATTGATACATCTATAAATGCAGATTTGTCAAATATAGTAAGAAAAAGTATATGACAGGAAGTAGGTCAATTAATGTAGCGTAGCCAAGAGATCGGAGCAAAGCCAGAGAATTTTTAATGTGAATGACCTATGCCACCTAAGACTTATGCCTGATTTTACATACATTTTTATAATTTACACCTCTAATCATTGGTTTTTCAATATAATATTTTGTCACATTTGGAAAGCCTAAATATTAATCTATTTTAACTTTCTTTATACTTCTTTCTCATACTTAGTACAACGAAAATGTAAATTATGAGTCACCCAGATACAATAAGATCTGGTACTCAAAGTATTAACGTTCTACTGTTGTTGACAGCAATAGAATGTTCAATAATATGAGGATTCCGTAAGTTTTCTCACCTATTCATCTTAGGCTTGTCTACTTACACTGCTACAAGTTTATATAAAACTAAATGATTTGGTTTTTTAGGTACGCATTGCTCAAGTATCAGCTGAGGAGGGAGTGAGGGACAATAGGAAATTAGGATGTCATAGGGGGCCTTGTCACAAGATCGCTGTACTGACTGAACAGCCGCACGTGATTTTGAGTGCCGGAGAAGACGGCTACGTATTTAGTCATGACGTTAGGAAAAACAAACAAGAAAGGTACCTAAATAGTTTTTTTTATGACCAGAATATTGTTAAAATAGAGGTAACGATGATGTTTTATGTATGGTTGAGTAATATTTGATGCAGAAATTCCTGAAATTATTTTAAATAATAACTAAACTATTAGTAACTAAATTGGATACAAAAAAACAAACTAAATCAAATTATTTTACTTGTTTTGTATCTAAATCTATAACAGTTATATATTATTATAAATTAAAAATTCTCCATTAAAAGTCGCTTCAAATTTTCTGTTTTTAAATTGCAGTTGTTTTTTTTTTTTAATTTTTAGGCGATTTTTGTATTACTTATATCAAAACAGGCAGAAGGACTTCGGTTGATAGCCTATTGGACTGAATTTTCAGTTCAATAAATGACGATTAATATTATTATATCAAAACGTTGGGACATAGTTTTACTATTGATTCCTGGGATAAAAAAAAAACAGATGATTTAACCCAACTTACTTATATCCAAAATCGTTTGCTTAAAACAATATAAAGGGTAAAAAAGCTTACGGTACTATCATTTTCAAAAAATTTAAGAAAAACGTTCTTTTATCTTTTCTTTATCACCCTATAATTCACAGAGGAGGTATGTCTGGAGAAATGTTTAAAGATTTTTTGCTACATTCGATTTTCAGAACATTAAAAACATTTTCATTTCCTTGCTTTTGTTTATCCTTTCGGATTCGGCAGTTAAGTCTCATGATTTAGTATTTCTGCTATATTGTAAACAATGCTCTGAATTAACACCTTCAGAAATCAGATGCCTACCACTACGCACCCGATTTCTAAAATTTCCTTGTGCAAAATGTAGGAATTGTGAGCTGACTGAATCTTAGGAAGACTATTGAAGATAATTAGGAGTAAAGATGGAATAATAAATAGTAAAATTGAAATAATAAAAATGCTGCAAGAAAAAATGAAACAAAATGAAGAAAAATAACTAAATTTACCTACCATTTCTTTTGCTGACATGGTGAAATTGCAAAAAATGACCATGAACCTAATCCTCCTAAAGTTATTAAACCGAAAATTCTACAGAATGGAGACAAAACAAAAACAGATTAAGGAACAAACCTTAAGTGATTTAAAAGTTGGAGTGAAACAATTAAAGATGGAAAAGAATGGTTCTGTTATACTTTTCTGTTAAACAAAAAAGAGGCTGAAATTCTGGGAAAAGCTGTTCAAGATTAACTAAAAAATTCATATGATGTAGATGTAACAAAAATGATAAAACCTAGAATAAAAATTTGCAAATTTACAGAGAACATGAACAAGAAAGAAATTAACAATCTTTACAGAAGAAAATTAATTATCAAATAAAATTTCATTAGTTTAAATTGTGTGTGTAGTACCAATGCCTGTCATCGTCGTCATTGATGATGTGCATTGGATTTTGTATTGAATCCAGTATGTATCTAGTGTTTCTTAATAAATGTCCATGACTCTATAAAAAAGATAATCTAATATTGCTTGATTTGTTTTTGTTTCTTTTTTTAGGATAGTGAGCGTAAAAGATGATGAACGAGAAGTAGCTTTATATAGTATCCACGGAAATCCGTTGAAATCATTGGAATTCTGCGTTAGCGGCAGAGACGAAATAATCAGGGTGTATGACCAAAGAAAAAGCAACGATACCCTACACACATATCACCCCTTCAAGAAAAGAGTAAGTATAATATCTTGGGCATTTAAATTTTTCGTATCCCATAAATCAGTTTTTTCCAAACTTATCTAAAGCGCGACCCCGTTTTTGTTAAAAATTTGTTCAGAACCCCCCTATTTTTCCCTACTCATCACCCATACAAAGGATGCAGGAATACCCTCAGGTGGCGAATGAAGCTGTAAATTATTTGGGTTCATTTGTAACATCGTATTTATGTGAATTAAGTTTCTCGCCTACAACTGCCATTAAAACAAGAGATAAATCGTCTTGTACTTGAAAACGATATAATGTGTGTGTCTCAAAACAGGTGCATCTGTCTCATTAACATTGTAATATCTGACTTTATTTTTCTCTTTTATTTTAACGGACATTAATTAGTTTTGTTTTATAATTAATGGTTAATTTTTGTTTACGGTGTTATTAAAATAAAAATACATGATTTAACAAAGTGGTGTTTTTGTCTTATTTTGGAAAGGTGACCTCATTGCAACTCTCCGGGGGGTTACGACTCACACTTTGGCAAAGTCAGCATAGATAATTTCCTATTTAGATTCCCATTGCATTGAAATCCATTTTGTGTCTTATTTTTTTCAGACTGATTCCAGCGGGTACACAGGTTTGCACGTCACGTGTGCCATCTACAACCACGACGGTTCCGAAATTTTGGGTTCCTACAACGACGGCGACGTCTTCCTTTTCGACGTCAACGCCGAACCTGGCAACTTCCTGCACCAGTACCAAGGACACAGGAACGGTGCGACCATCAAGGGCGTTAATTTCTTTGGTCCGAATTCGGAGTTTATCGTCAGCGGCTCGGATTGCGGATATATTTACTTTTGGGAGAGGAATACGGAGGCTATCGTGCAGTGGTTGTTGGCAGACGATAATGGAGTGGTGAGTCGGTTTTTCATTTCACAGACACTGGTTCATTTAGAAATTTGAACACTCAAATGTCCATAAATCAATTCTGGTTTCTTAAACTACAAACAGTATTATTTAAGAAACCATCTAAGAAGGTCTTAGGTTTGCATAACTTTTGTATGTGATTATAATTTTTTTTAATTTTGTTCATTTTAATTACAATAATAATTATAAAGCTTACAAGGTTAGAAAATAAAGAAAAAATACGTGTGGCATTCGGGGACTGCCGCGGTAAAGCTATTGCATAGCATTTTTTATCAACTTAAGCAATTATAATTATTTATTTTATTTATGCAGTATTTTTTCTTTGATATTAATTCAAGTTACACTTTTTGAGCGTGGTGACCGATAAGAAAACAATTTTTTTCTTTTATTGAATAAATGAGAAGTTAATATTGTTTAAAATATTTTTATCATTGAAACTAGGTTTATGGCAACTGAAATAAGAAACATAAGTTTGAGAGTTGATACCATATTTTGTTGTGGATTCTTGTGGATCATTATTCATTTTCAAATTCAATTTTTCAGAAATCGTGTCTAATACAGATAGAATCAGTTATGAGCAGTTAGCAGCTATTCTACACGCATATGTCTAGTCGCACGCACATAAACACCGTGCCGAAGTCTGCCGAACTGAAACGACGTTAGACAATGCAGACAACGGTTTATTTTCGCGGAATTTCTTGATTGGATCGTCGCGCTCAAAGCCCGCGATAAAAGCTATGCAATAGCTTAAAAATTAATATCTAATATTTACGCCAGCTGGGAACATTTGTAATACCAATTTATTAGAAGCCAGATAAAGCTCTTCTAGTTCTTGTATTGCGTAAATGTTCCAGTCCGCAGACGTATATTTAACTCCGCTTCATACTAATACGAATAGGGTCGGATAAAATCTTCCATGGCTATAACGCCGTACCGCTGTGCCGGTCGGAGTGGGGGTGTTAGGTTTTTTTCGTTACGGTGTTATGAAATTTCTTGATTCGGTCGCCACTCAAAGCCCGCGATAAAAGCTATGCAATAGCTTAAAAATTCTTGTTTATAGTTCATTACATTATTTTTTGCACCCAGGTGATGAAGCTGTATGTGCGAATATTACAAGATTGTTTATTATCATTCACTTTTCCTTGGAAATTCAAGAGTTAATTTAAATTATTAATATTAATTAAAAACTAAAAACTAAGAACTAAAAACAGGTGAGCGAATGTATAAATAAATAATGATAATTTAAATGCAAATAATTCATTATGAAATAAAACATTACAGCACAGTAAGCTAAGCATTGAAATAAGATTTAGGTGTTATTTAAAAGGTTTAGGTCTAGTTTAATTATTTCAAGTCTGTGAATCGGGTCTCTTTGTGTTTAATATTTTTTTGTCAACTGTCATATTTTATAGGCTATAGATGAATCCAGTCGCCATAATTATTAAAGAATTTATGTGAGATAGATTTCAAGTTTTATTCGTCTCATTGAAGATGACCTCATTTGATAGGTTGGATTCCCTTCTGAGTCTGCTATTTGTTCCATTATAACTTTATATGACTTGGCTTTATATGACTTATGGCATTATTCATAAGCAATCTATGATTTTTTGACTCTTTTCTACTTGTGAGTTCTATGTGAACTTGCTGTCAAACGTGCGATCTGTACTTCACTTCTGTTGCAAAGTTTAGTTTTATATTTAGGACTTCTGGCAGTTTTATTACCATGTTCAACATTTTTCTTGTTTAAAGGACCATTTTTTTCTTCTTGGGAGAGGATAGATGGTAGTCAGTCAGTATGTCGTACCCTATAAGGATTCTATAAGGTTCCCATTTGGGACTATTATTGTTCTTGCTATATATCAATAATATTGAAGATATTTTTCAATATACTAATTTTCTACTTTTTGCTGATGACCTAAAGGTAGATATGCCCATTAATAGTGTCAATCAAAGCTCGCTTTAAGCTGTCCGTGTATGCGACAGCTCACAAATTTTTCGAAAGTTGTACAGCCGATTTAGTGTCTGCGCACAATGATCTTGTTCACCCTTTTTTTTTTTTAAATTTCATTTTATAAAAGAAATGTATCTAACAATAGCAAAATACCTAATTTCACAACAAAAAAGTAAAATTTAGAGGATCAAAAAATTATTGAAATCGGCGTTTGACATTTAAACGTCAAACAAAATTTGTTTACGTCGAATCAAGTGTTTGCTTGGTTTGCTTTACGTTAAGAGAGGGGAATTCGTTATTGTATGAGTTTTGTATACAGCCATAGATATATAACCAAGACAGATAGGATGGTTAAAAAAATTCTGAAGCCAACACGAGTTCACATTCTAATCTTTCTTGGCAGAAATACAATGTTCTGATTGAACATTGCTGCAAGTTTACCGTGTCCTTAACAGTAGTTTGTGTGTCTTTAATAGTAAATTAAACAATATATTAAGAGAAGCAAAGTTTTACTAAACGAATATAGCTTTTGAGTACAAGCAAGTACAGTGAGTAACTTAAAAGCAATTTGAATTTAGTAAAACTGCTTTTCCTACAAGGTTTGTTTGTACTATTTTTTCACATTTTGTATTAATAATCATAAATATAACAGCATTACAAAGTTAGAAAATTATAGTAGGTACCTGTGTAGGATTTCCGTAACCTGACACGGCGTTGTTTATTTCACTAACAACAATTTCATTTTTGTAAAATTTGGTTCAAGTTATTACTAATTTTCTATAAAAAAAAATAATTAGGAAGAATTTTTTAAAATTGCTCCCAAAATATATTTTAGATAAAAATCCTCTAATTTGTGGTTTGATCGATTCTCAAAATTTATTATTGCGTGGAATATTTTCTGTGATCATTCCTAATGGAGTCCATACATTAAAAAAACAGCACTGTGTTCCCGTTATTGCCAGCTGTCCTTGAAAAATAATTATGGTTTCTCTTTAAAATGTATTCTTCCAATTATTTAATTTTTCCTTCTGCAACACCCATTTCGGGTGTCATTGTGGCACATGAGAAACGAAATTTTATTTCAATTATTTCCGACGTGTTTATTTCTCCATCCGGACTTGCTCCCAGAAAAGGAAGTTTATCGTAGATACATAAACCACAATCTTTAAAACCTTTTTCTGATTTTTTTTTCAAATACTTCTTTCGCATGGCTTTCTTGTTCTTTGCCCCAATTAGTTGCTTTGAAATTTGTGAATGGAGAAAACAAAATGTTATGAACAGTTTTCTTCGGGTCTGTGGTTTTCTTTAATTTGCATATTGTGCCCAAATTTAAAGCAGTAAAATTCTCTCCAACATGTGTTCCTAGGTTGCCCTCTTGTTTTAATTTCAATTTCTAATATTTCGGCTCTTGAATTTGGTAAACTGTACAAAAACTTTTGTTTTATTTCTTCTAAATCTAGAATATCATTATTCGGCATTCCATATTCCTTATCAGCATGTGCAGTTGTTCTCTTTTTTTTTTTTGTTTAATTTGGGGTCGTCTGAGAGATGTTGTGCTTCTTTTATTCTTTAATTTGGCGATGAACGACTGTGGTTCTTAAATGGTTGTGGTTTGATGTAAAGTGTCAATGTAATTTTCTCTTTTGTTGTACGATACGGCTGCTACTTTACATCTTAAACCAAAGCCTCCTTTTATAGCAAAATTGATCCTCTCTCCCCCAACAAATTTAGCCACTACCGAATTATAAGTTTCTGCTGCATTATTATTCATGTTTAGTATCAAATTTTGGGTATTTTGGAGCAATCTATTGCCAGCAGAAACTATGTCCTCCATTAACCCAGAGCTTTCCATCTCTTATCTACTTTTTCCTTTTTACAAAAATAATCTGCACATTTATTGTGTATTCCAAAAACATGGTATGGACAATTTTTGATGTCAGCCGATAATTGTTGAACCTGCTGATTAAAATTAATAGTATTTTTTCGGTGATGCAGGATTGCTGATTTTACGGCAATTCGTAATTGTAATCTCCTCGATGATAAAATTTTCCTATATTCGGGCTTTACATGCATATCCTTGTACTTTTTTTTATTGGTAAGTTCTCGCAAATGCGTACAGTAATTTCGCAAAAGGTAATTGGTACACTCAAATTTTGTAACAGTCATTGGTTCATTCAACTTTTGTAACAGTCATTGGTCCATATGGTCTTGTTTCGCAAATTTGTTTGTATACGCTGCTATCTCCATCGCCGATAAGTCGTATGTACTTTAACTAGTGCATCACAACACTGTTTTTAAAGCCATGTAGACGAGCCACTCTAGTTTTTGAACAATTGTGTTGATGAGGTTCGTCATTTTTTGAAGAGGCTTGAGTGCAAATGCCACCAATTATGCAATCCTGAAAATATTTATTTTCATTTATAAAAAGATAGCAAACAAGAAAACAATATAAAATGAAATGAATTATTAACGTAGTTTTCAAAACCAATATTACGTTTAGGAAGTATATTAAAAACAATGAGAGCAAAATTAATTCCAATAATCAATTAAATTGTGGTAAAATTGTATACTGGTCAAACAGGCCGTACTTTCAAAAAAACGCTATTCAGAACATTACAATAGTTATATTAAAAACACAAATAATTTTACTTTTTCAAATCATATTGGCTGAAAATCATTCATTAAATTAAACCATTTAGAAAAACTTGTAAATAGAAAAAGGATGGAAAAATCAGCTACAATATGTAGGTTTTAAAAAATTGATATTTGCAAATTGACAAAATTTTATTTTACTTCTAATTTTTTATTTAAAAAAACTAGGCTGTAATAAAAACATTTGAAACCTACAGATTGATAGGGTTTTCCTTCTGAACACCTCATTAAAAAATGAAATGGTTCTGATCATAAATAAACAAGATATGATGTAAAAATAGTGTATCGAGAAAAACACCCTTAATGTATTTTCTGTTAAAAGATTTTTATATATTTTCTGTTGTAATGAGCATTTCTCGTACATTGTATAATAAAATAAATAAAAAAAATTGTAGGTAAATTGCTTAGAACCCCATCCCCAAGTGCCGTACATCTGCACCAGCGGCCTCGACTGGGACGTAAAAGTGTGGGTGCCTTCGTGCGAAAACGATCCCACGTTTAAGGGTCTATCTTCGACCGTAAAAAACAACAACAAGGCGCGAAGCAATTGGACGTCTATGATTCCGCCTGACATCAACGAGAGTCAAATGTTGTGGATGTTGTGGCGGCATTTGAGGAGCAGCAACCGATTGAGGGTGAGTTTTGACGTTTGTTTACTTTTTATTTCAGTTTTGTTCTGCATCTGGAGTGTTCAGTAACAATAACTTTTTTTGTCCTATTATGAATAATGCAAAAGTTATCTTTCAGGAAAATTTCAAGTAACTGTTTTTGTTTAGCTTTATTCATAAACATTAAAATTTAAAATAATTTTGACGTTTTTGAAAAAGAAGATGAAAAAAAAAAGGTGGAGAATTACAGACCAGTTAGTCTTTTAATTTCTTTTTCAAAAATTTTTGAGGCAGCCATGTGTAAAAGGGTATCAAAATTTTTTGTAACTTGTAACTTATTAAACAAAAGTTAACATGAATACTAGCATGGAAAATCTACGCAAACGGCAAATTTCGAGATTCTGGATTATTTGTCCAAAGCCTATGATTGTCTGAACCATGAAATAATACTGGACAAGTTTGAAAAATATGACAATAGGGGTCCAGTATTAGGGTAGTTCAAATCATATCTTAAAGATAGGAAATAGTTTGTCAAAATATATAAAAATAATGAGGAAGTTAAATACATATGTAGAATTACCATATCTAGGGAAGCATAGTACTACTAATTATTTATGTGTATGAACTAAACAGTTTTATGTTAACCAATTATACTGATGACACAAACATCTTAGTAAATGCATCTGATATGATAGAATATATGCAAGATTTTTTTGATTTTTTTGTTTATAGCTCCTGCAGTATTTGATATAGTTAGTTCAAATTTGGAATTTAGATTGCGCTATAGGGCTTACATCATTGGGCATGCTAAATGGTTGTGATATTTTTGCAGAGGTTTTGCCCCCTTTTCTTCTCTTAAACTTGCTGTGGGCCGCTGGTATATTCTAAAATACAAATGAATTTGCTGTTTTGTTTAGAAACTTTTTGGAATCTTGTAGTTGTTTTGTATCTGCGACCGTTATGGATAAGTTCACTGAAGTTTAAATGAACGTTTTTCTTTATTCCTCACAGTCTGTTAAAAATTAACACTGGGATGACCCGATTGTGGTAGCAATTATTTATTACAATACAAAAATCTAAATAATGACTATAACAAGGAAACTAAAGGAGCTACAAGGAAAAAATCTTAAAATTCCAACACCCTGTAGATTGGTAACGAAGCGTTTGTAGACCTATGTTTATATGACTTCTTAGTCATGAAATAAGTCAAAAAATTACATCCCTCCGTATGTACATGGTATTTAAAAATGTTTACGAGATGGACAATATAAATGTCAATTGTTGTAACAATAATTTTTATTTTAGTCAAAAAATCATTGCAATTTGAGTTTTTCCGAGTGTAAAGTGTTTTTAATCTCTAATTTCAGTCACTGGACCCAAGAAAATTGATGAACAGGGAAAAGTAGTTTCATTCACACAACTTCTCGGGTCTACATCTGCTTTTATTATTGAAGTTACTACTTTTTCTGCAGCGGTAAAAAAATAGTCGTTAAAAGTTAAAACAATCTGGCTTGATACAAAATGGTTTTGTAGTATCACTAGAATTTTTTTTCCTGTGAAAATTTATGATTTTCCTGCTATCTCTAGGTCCATTATTAGAACATAAGAGATAGAGAAGACTGCAAAAAAAGGAGGAAATCAAATTTTGCAAATAAAAAAAAATTAATGATTTTATTTTTTGAATATAACTCCGTGAAGATGAAGTCCGTTCAGTTACATTCTTCCAATCATGATTTGAAATTATCCATTACGTTGCGCAGCATTGGCAGGGAAATTGGGTCCACTTCCTCTCGGATCTGTTCTTTCATGGCTTGAATTGTTGTTTGTGGTGTGTTATATCTTTTATTTTTCAAGTAACTCCACAAGAAAAAAACGCATGTTGTGAAGTCTGGTGAACGGGGAGGTCAGGTGATATACCCATTTCGGGAAATCATATGATTTATTTGGATATAACCCCTTTTGATACGAACACGAGCTGTTGAGGGGCCCACCGCTTCATTTTTTTCTAAATGCTAACACGCAGGAACCATGGCCAATTGCGTCTCAACCAGCTCCTAACAATACAGCGCGGTTGTCGAGTTTTTTAAAATCACTCCTTATTCTGCCTCCTCTATTTATCTGTATCTTTGGAAAATGAAATCGGCAGAAAATACTCGTTAGTGTGATTAGGATGCTGCACAAAATTAGTAATGAATATGTTAGGAGACACTGTTTTGATATGAGAATAAAGGAATTGGCGCAGACTAGAGGAAAGTTTAGAAACAAAATACACATGACGGATTGTAGTGCCTACTGTCGCACTATTACTACCTTTTACCTTTAATCTACAATCGCACTACATTGATCATGACTTTTTTAAACCCGTTAAAAAATCAGAAAACCGTTTGTTTGTAATTAATTTTCTGCACTATGATTTAGATCTCAAAATTATAGGCCAGGAAAATTGTATTTGAAATTTGTTATACTTTTATAGGCGATTTTTTCAAAACGCAACCGAACTCTTTAGAAGATCTTCGCCACCGGATAACTGTGGTATGTCGTGAAATAACTCATGCAATGCTACAAAATGTTCGGAACAGTGTTGAACAAAGGTTTTATTACTGTTTGGAAGTAAATGGATCGCAATTTGAATACTTACTTTAATTAAAACTTTTCTGGCAACTTTTTTTTAATTTCTTTCACCCACAATTCCAGCTGGTTTTTGGCATTAATTTTAACACTTAACACAAAAATGTTAGCATGTCTGTAAAGAGAATCGAAATACCTTTCAAATGATGTGCCACTTAACCCCCCATGCAATTAAAGATTCTCGAAGAGGTTTCCACCCCTTTTAGGGGGATGACCGTACAACCATGAGGTAAAGATCAAAAGTTGTCCGCCTCGATAACAAAATCGACGTGTCTCGAGGTTTATCGCAAAAACCTCCCCCGCCAATAATATTTGAGGTGGACTGTTTCTAATGCGCCACCCTGTATATGATCAATACACTGAATGTGAATAGTTATTGTTACTGAATTCATCCTTTGAATTGGATACAAGTGTTATTGTTACGAGTGACAGGTGACAGTTAGGAGGTGTTGACGTTGGCGTATGCGGTAAATGTCACTGTTTTAATAAGAAAAAAGAAAGAAAATATTTAGTGTTTTCTATTTATAATGCACCAATTTTTGTCCATTTTTCTGTGGCTAATCATCAGATATAATAATTTAATTTCATCCTGTACGATTTTTACTAGGAAAAAGTAGAGTGGTTTCTAAAATCAAATATGATTTTAAGCAATTTACATATCTAATGGTTATCCGAGAAAAATTGATGTCTTGTTGAGTTAATAAATGTCTAGTTGTTGGAGAAATAATGTTTTTAAAATCAATTAATTCTTTGAAATTTATAGTTAGAACTTGACGACTTTGATGATTGATTGATTGATTGATGAAATATGAAACAGGCAGCAATGGATTTTTTTTTAAATCATACATTATTTATTTATTGGACATAATTTTTGTAAATAAAGTGCTTTGACAGTTAATGGTCTAACGATGATTTTTCTTAGTATTAATACATTTTTATACGCTCTTTCGTGACATATCAATTTCTGAGACAGCTGTCGTGACGTTACATCCGTCAAAAACGTCAACTGTCACTCGTCACAGGTGGTCGACTGACGTCAAACTGACGGTTTCAGCGCGAGTTCCCGAACGGAGGCGAAGGAGATACCGCCTTTTTCCGATACGCTTCGACCTCCAGCAGCTCGTCTGGTTCGAGTTCGAGCAGCATACCATCCGACGAAGACGATTTGGACGTGACGGCGTCCTGTTCCCCCTCATAATATTTATATATATACACACTCCCCCTTCCCCGATCTCCGAACACCCCTCCTTAATCCCCCAAACCATTGCAATGTATATCTGTTAATAATAAAAATAATTATTATTATGATCACCCGGGAATACATTATATATTTGTAAATAGACTCGTTTTTGCTATTAGATTTAAATAAACTCTATTATTGAAAATAAAGAATTAAAAAACAGAATCAAAATGTATTGCGACACCAAAATCGTAAAAATTTGTTAGTTTTTTATATTCGTTATTATATTTTTTCCTGTTTTTTTTTATCTTTTAGAATTTTTGATTTTGTTTGGCGTCTGAGTTTATTTATTTTTTTTTTTTTTCGGTTAAAGCCTGAGCAATCCCAAAAAATGTAAATAACCGTTTTTTTTGCCGCCGTTTAATATACAGGGCGGTTCGGTGAACGTTCTCAGGACCGATGTGTCGGAAAGTAATAAAATTTTGACAAATCATTGAGAAACGTTAAAAGTATTATTAACGGCGTAAAATGATTTTTGTAAATATGTAGATTTGCTATTAGATTTAACGACTTTCTATTGTTTAGTGAAATAAATCTAATGAATATAACTCTGGTTTGTGATTATGATAAACGCTTAAATTGACGCACGAAACATGTTTCTATGCAGTTAATGCATCTTAGTTACATTTCTCGAATCACCCTGTATATTTAGATGTGTATAATTTCTCTATGATTCACTTTTAAAAGTTAATTTCGACAAATATGGCAATTTGCCCATTTTCACAATCAAATATTTATCTAAAATATTTTTGGATACATATTTTTTTTCTCTCTTTTATTATGAAATAGCTGGTAAATTTTCTGATCAATTTTTAGAACGGTTGGTAATTTTATATGGGTTTCTATTTTCTTCAGTTGAAACTTTCTAAATTAGTTTTCTCCTAATTAAAGGAAATCATTTCTTTAAATTTTGATATTGCCTACGAAGTTTCTTTTTACGTCATTTCCCGTTGGATTGAGATATTAGGGTCTATTTATACTCCCTTATTATTTTTATTTACATTAGTATTATGATTATGGATTAAGTTGAACCTTCACAATGTAATGGTGACATTTATACTCGATTTATGATTAATATTAGCATTAATATTTATGCTCAATAATTGACAGGTTCAACTTTTATGTTAAATCTTAAATTTCGTTTTTTCTATCAAATGAATCAATGATGTATTTAGCCTTTGTTTTTAATAGACAATGGATAATGACAATTGACATGATTATGTTGTCAGATGTTGTTTGTAGGTTTGTTCCAAAGGCGAGTTCGGAGGGGCTGGAGCGGGACAAAAGCGGAGTGTTTTAGGGTGCTTTTAAATGTTATTTAAGCGTGTTAAATTGTCACTAATCGGACTAAATCGAACGCTAAAATGGTCGTTTGGAGTAAAAAGTGTTAAAGGAGTTAAAGGAACTTGGCAAACCGAACGCAATGCAATAAGCTCGAAAACGATAATATTTCGGTACAAATCATGCGCTGTATACAATTTTTGTGTATCAGCAGTGTTTACCGAGTATAATTGACATGTCACCTCGAGGAAGCAAGGGCCTCTTTTCTGTCTGATTTGTATTAAATTTCTACTTCTTTTTATCTGTTATAAATTTGAGACGTAAATCCGTTAACATTTCCTTAATTAAACCTATTTTTGAATAATAATATCTTTAAATAAAATTAACTAGTAAAAATATTAATAAAAACATGTTTAAAACTCAAATATCTTAAAAAATGTTCTATGAACACAACTGGCCTCTTACACATTTCTTCTGACACACATTTTGTTGACTGCAGAATTCTATCTTATTAGGAAAAAGATTATTAAAAAACAAGCACTAATGCTAAATATAAAACGAGTATAAATACCCTTTTTGAATATTTTGTCCAGTTTACTGCTTAATCATAATACTAATACAACTACTAATAATAAGGGAGGAAAAATAGACACTTAGTTTTAATGTATGTTCAGCGATTATTTTTTACCATGGTGTCCGATTTCAATGATTATGTTTTTGTGTGAAAAGGGGTACCTCAGGGATGGTCCCATATAAATTTGGTCAAGATCTGTTGTTGACATCTATGAGAAAATCAGCAGACTCAATTTGTAAGATCATCTGCACGATTTTGAAATCGGTTTTTTAAAATTACTTTTATAACTTGTTAGTATGGACGGTTTCATGAACACTGTTCTCATTGCTACGATATATTTTTCTTTTAACCTAGGTGTCTTCTTCCCAAATAGCAGGAAAATCATTTTTAAATTTTAATACCTTGTAGAAATGTTCCTCCTCTTTATATTCACGTTAGATTGAGATTGCTATTTCTAATAGTTTCATTGTTAAAAACAGTTTTATGAATACGGGGCCTATTTTCGATACCAATCTCGTTCTTTAAAACTCAGTATATTTCAAAATTATTTTAAGACATTTATTTATACATTTTTGGTATTCCGTATAAAATGTATTTATATGATTGTGTGAGCACGTAGAGATCAGATAACGGGTGTGTATCGTACAACGTTTTATGATATACTGCAATTTACCACGTTTTACAACCTAAAATCAAATAAAATTTTATCATTACAAGTTTCCGAATGTGACTTAAAATAATGACAGTTCAGTTAGAACTGACAGTTCAGTCATAAGTTTTGTTAAAAATTTTTACCGGGCTAGCCCGTTATGACTCCCTTAACAACCATAAACAGAGGTTGGTTATCAAGGTATAACATTGCAGTATATCATAAAATCCTATAACTTATTTTCCTGATTTCACAAAACGAATAAATCATCACAAAAATAAATATCTACAACGGTATATAAACACTGTTAAAATACAGAATTTTAAAGTAGTGTACACACATACAAATCTGTATTTTCTTTCTAAAATTTTGGGACTGTTCCAAGGCATATTCACAAAACTTTTAATTTGATCATTATAAAAAAGGAAAAAAAATGTAGAAGATTTTTTTTCAGCTCAGAGAGTGGTTGTTAAGTCGTCGTTGCCACACACTAACTATTTATGTAAATTTTAACCATTTTTCCAGCAGATATTTTGTTTTTAAAAAGTTGTTACGACTTTAATATGTGATTACTTTAGTACATATTTATTATTAGTCAATAAAAAATGTTTTTAAATATATTTTTTTGTATTTATTAATAAATAGAAACCCTCACAATAGTATATTATGCTTCGATCATGTAATGATAGCTGTTAATACAGGCGCTTGAAGTAAGATACGAAATGAGGTGTACATAAGTGTATTAATAGTCATTACGAAGAGCACTGCTAAGGTTCGCAGAAAATGTAAAACAAAAAAAATTACGTTTTATTATATACTTTATCGATGGTCTAATTCTAATACCCCGTATCTGCAAAAACAATCAAATTTTACTATTTCGTGCCATTCGGTTGTTTACTCTGTCATGAGTTCTAATAACCATATTGCAATCATATTTATCACATATAAACCAAAAAAGCCTTTCCATACAGTTATGGGATATTAGAATTAGACCATCGTTATTATCTATTGGGCATCTGATAAAACCAATCTTCAAAAACATTCAAGTCAAGTCAAAATTTCTTTATAAGAAAGCTAAAAATAAAAGTAAAAAATTAATATAAAGAACAAAAATGTATATGCACAACACCAAGTACAAATATGACAATTGACAAATATATAATATACACATAAATTAAAATGAGCTACTTAATTCAACCGATTACAGAAAAATGAATCCAATTTGTAGTAGGCCTTCTTATATTAATTGGCAGATGGTTAAATATCTTCTTTCCGCTATACACAATAGAGCCATATACCAAGCCGGAAGAGGGTACAGGCAAGGGAAGGTATAAGATTCTTCGAGTATTGCTGGAGATAATAATATTACATTTATATTTTTTAAAAACTAAAAGTGCCGTTTCTAAAATAAACAGACAAGTGAGTGTTAGTATATTGTGCCTAATAAATAATGGCTTACAAGAGACACTAGCATCAACTTTGCACATATCTCTTATGGCCCTCTTCTGTAAGACAAAGACTAGTAAACAACTCGGAAGAACATGTTCCCCTGAAACTCATAGCATATCGCAGATGGGATTCTACCAATGAAAAGTATGCAACAGTTCTTACTGCAAAACATCCAGAGGACAGCTTCTTACACAAACTATAAACATGGATTTCAAATTTTAATTTCTGGTCAATGAATAAGCCTAAAAATTTATTTTCGGGTTTTTTGCAAATTTGTTGCTGTCCAACTGAAATTATATCGATATCGCCACTGAATGAGACTATATTTGTTTTTGATATATTAAGAGATAAATAATTTGAATTACACCATTCTTTAATCTTAATGTCTTTGTTAATATTATTAGACAACTCTTCAATATTCTCACTCTCCCAGAGTATCGTTGTATCATCTGCAAATATGGTGAAGTATCCAATAATAATATCATTAATATAAATTAGGAATAGAACGGATCCTTGGGGAACCCCATAGTTAATCATAGAAAGCATTGATGTTTGCTTATTGAAAGAAACTCTGTTGTACTCTAGTCTACAAATAAGACTGGAACCACTTTAGAGCTATTCCTCGGAATCCATATTTTTCTAGCTTGCTCAGCAATATTCTGTGATTTACACAGTCAAAAGCTTTGGATAAATCACAGAACACTGCAGCAGCTACCTTGTTATCATTTAAATTCAGGTATAATTTTTCTAGAACAGAAAACATAGCATCGGTAGTTTTTTTACCCGATTAAAACTCAAACAGAGATGTAGATAGCACTCTGTGAATTTTAACCAATTTTTCAGTAATTTTTGCCAAAGTGGGTTATCCCAACCTAAGGAATTCTCTTTTGTGGTAGAAGAAAGGATATCCTTAATTTCTACAACATCAGTTGGTATAAAATAAAATGAATCGTTAATATTTAGATTATTTAAATAAGACAAAGCATCAGTCGAAGGAATTATTTGGGTGGACAGACTTGGATCAACAGAAAGTATAATTGTTTAGCTGCTTTAATCATTTTTCTGTAAATTGCACGATATTTACCAAGTAATAATTTAAGATAGAACCACTGCCACCTGAATAATTTTTTATTAAGTACAAGGAGTGCATATTTTTGCCGTAGTCTTAATCCCTTTAGTTATCCAAGGCTTTTTGGGTTTGTTTTTTTAGCGTTTTCATAGGAAAAGCATTATTAAATTTTTTTTCTACGCCCATGTCAGTAGACGTTAAGCATCGCACTATCAACATTCATTGTAAATGACATTTAACAATAACATGAACGTAATGAGATCTCATAACATACACGTGTATTTTGATAAGAAAACTTAAATTTCTTGGTTTAATCAAATTGCAATCAAATTTTTGTCACGTACGACTGTATTTGGTCTATTTACATAAATTTTGTCGTTTAAAAAACAAAAACGTTTAGCATTAGCGAGATACATTTTGGATTAAAAGAGTGATGCCCCTAAATGTCGGCAACATATTATATAATATTTCAAAAAATATGTCGCATTTTCTTAGCATGCTTTGGAAATAAGCGTCATGCTATTTATATTGTCAATTTTTGTAACAAAATATGATTGTATCCGAACATTTTCTCAACTTTACTTACGAATATGTTTGTTAGCAGTGAAAGTGATGAAATTATGAGCACTCCACCGGAGATTTTAGAAAAAGCTCAAGCTGCCACACACAATTTGTTACCGCTAAAATCCAAAGAAAGGTATGAAATTACCTATCGAAAATTAACGTTAAATCCTTTTTTGAGAATGTTTTAAGTGGGCGTAGAAAAATTATAGTTCGTTACACGAGTTGTAAGCCCATTACGCACTCGCCGCTGCGTGGCTTCGTGCGTAAAATTTTTCACTTCGTGCGTAATGGGTTACTTACAACTCTTGTTACGTAATATACTATTACGAGTAGGTTCTTTAACATGTGCAGTTAGATTATAACAATTAGGAAGATTTGTCAAATTTTTGACATTCACCTATTAAAATTATTGACGCGTTTGGTGGTATTTGAGATAGAATATTTTCTACGGCATTGAAAAATGAATTAATTCGGTGATGTGGTGATCGATATACCACAATTATGAATACTGTGACGAAAGTCTAATTTATTTATAGTTTATTTATTTAAAAACACACTATTTACACATTTCAGACGTACTATTTAATTTATATAATATTTAGACACTAACTAACAATTCTAATTTATTTCTTACACTTTAACTTTTTCAATATAATGTTCTATATTAAACTAAACTCGGCGCTGATACGTCGGCTATTTATAATACAACTCCGCTACTGGAAATTACTAGAGACTCGCGAAGATTCTACCCCTATGACTAATCGGCACTCCCCGCCGTTCCAGTTGCTTCCAGTGCATCAGCGGCAGACATTCCGTCGTATTCTTGTACATTCGAGACGCGGGCCGGCTGTTTCCACACGTCAGCGTTGCTTCAATCACGAGTCGGTTGCGTGCGTACACAGGGTAGGCTGTAAGCATTTTCATGACAATATATTTAATGAATTACTGTATGCAACTGAAAATTCAAATTCTTTTTCGATAAGAAGTTGGTTATATTTGTTAATGTTTGAACAATGTACCTCAAAAATAGGTGATTTAAATGATGAAAAACGCTCACCACGCATTGTATTTTTGATATATCATAATAAAAATAAATCAATGGGGGACACATTAGGCGAATATGGGCAATTAGTCATTAGATGGATGTTAATGTTTTTACTGGTTACAAACTCGACAATTCATCGTGCTGTTTGAGTACTTGCATTTACGTTTTGATTTTAATGATTTCTGGCAGACAAATTGAAATATATCAGTCATAATTAATTTGTCCTATCCTCTAATGCACTATATTCCCGTTTTTCCGAAAAACAAGTAATCATTTTTTCGAAACGCTTCATGAACCCACCACTTTTGTTGGTTTAGGTTCATTTTGAAACACCCATACAGTCGATTGCTATTTAATTTCAGGCCCATATTCGCTCCGTGCGTGACAGCAGCGCCAATTCATTTTTGTACTAATGGACCATTTTTGCCTATATAGACAATACAATTTTTAAAAGAATTCATAATTAAAAAGTAACTATCTTAGTTTTATTAAAAGTATGTATATGGATTTGTAAAACAAGTAAAACATTAATTTTTTATTATTATATATTTTTATCGCTTAAATTAAAAAAAATTTAGTATATTCTATAAAAATCAATAATAAAATAAAGACAGGCAACAGTATTTACGGGAAAATGTATGAGAAGTTGCCTAAGTCTAATAAGTTGCCTTTAAAGAATTAACCTATTCTATCAAAATAAAAAAATACCTTTAAATAATAGCGTGAAGTTAAAATGCATAAACAGAAGGATTGTTATTTATATTTTTGTTCGACAGAAAACAGAATAAATGATTAAAACTGGTTTACTATCAGTAAGTCACAAAATTGCATTTCAGCCACATACAATAATCGAAGACAGAAATCTAGTTCTTGATGAACATTTAAGATTAAAGAGATGTTGAACCCCACCGTAAAATTATATTTATTGTTAATTTAAAACCTTTCAAGTTTCTGATGTCTGCTATTTCTGGTATTACTGTTATGATTACAAAAATAAAGGTAATTTTTCTTCTTATTGTACACATATTAGGATGGCGCAAACAACCGACTATTTTTTTTTTTTGAGTCTCGTACGAAAATATGTCAATTTATCGTTTTTTAAGACCCCCTCTATAGGGCAGCTCAAAAAAAATTTTTTTAGGGGTCGCTCAACATTTTTCAAAATAAAGCTGTCTGCCTACTATAGCGTACCATACCATGACCATAACAGGAACATGTCAGGCACGAAAGAAAGCACTTTGGTCACTATTGGGCGCACTGCAGCGAATCAACAACGTTTTAAGGTCTCTGCCCATTACACCTTACCATACTAGGATCGTAACCGTATCGACACATACAAACAAATATTCTTTGCATGTTTTGCCATCGGACTGGACACAGCTCAAATTGAAAAGTCTCACATAACATAAAATTTGTATGGGTGCCTAAATCAGTGAGCTTTTGTAGCGTACTTGTAGGCTACAAAGGCGAACAGATTTCAGCACTCCGGTGCCGTCATATAGGAGGTTGTAAATATGCACACTGGACCTCTCGCGGAAGCAAAAATGTTTTACGGATTTTCTGATATAAAATTGTATTTATATGCGTGTCACTGGGAATACTTCGTGATATGTGTCTTGACAATATTAAAAGCTTTAAATTTGTGCAACGATAAGGCAGCACTCTACCGAGATGTTTAAGAAAAAAGGTGGGAAAGCATATCATTTAAAAACTACTAGATATTTTTTATTAAAACAAAAAGCAGCTAATTTTCATAGATTTAATACAGAATGGCGCGGAAATGTTTTTTTTGAAATTTCTTTTAAAAATTTTCAAAATACTTTTCGAAGCTTCACAAAAAATTCAAGGTTTCTACTTCCCTATGTTTTGTTATTGGTTGTATTTCCTATAAATTTCACAAAAATCGGACTAAAAATAAAGGTGTTCGGTTTGCTCTTAATAAAAAAATTGATCGGTCCGAGCTAGGCGTTGGTCTAAAATGTAAACGCAGTTCCTGTTAATGGTTATGGTACGTTTTCGTCTGACCACTCTGTATACTTGTAAATAGTATTAATGATAATCAGTAAATAAATGGATAACTCACATTTAATAGACAAATAATAAATACGGGAGTTTCCACTGTTTTCTAACATTTTTTCGTCTCCTATAAAATTAAATTAATTAAAATAATATATGAGTTATATTTTATAGTTACGACTGCCATATGCAAATGTAAATAAATATTAATACCTATTCATATTCATTAAAACTTTCTGAAAAACAATCAGTTATTTTTTGTTAATTAATTGACCTTCAGTTATAATCTTTATATTATACATATTGCCATACTATAGTGAGGTAAGAGTTTTAGAATATAGAAAACAAGCATTAGATAAGTATTCATTTATTTAAAATGGTGTTTCAATTAGAGGGAAAAGTAGCCTTAATTACTGGTGGTGCATCAGGTTTAGGACTATCACATGCCAAAGAATTGTTGAGGAATGGATTAAAGGTAATGTTATGGTTTATATTATTGCTTAATTTATTAGGTATTAAATTTAAGTATCAAAAGATGCAATAAAAATAAATGTATAGTATCCTTTAATTTCGGATTCTCCTATTAGGCATTCCAACGACCTGTCGAAATGGCTGTCTGATGGCTTTGTCAGGGTCAATGCTTTTTATAGTTACATAGATTGATCAAAAGTGGGTTGCTCGCGCCGCTCGCGGCCCTATATTGCTTCGCATGTGCTCACTGACGTTTTAGCAAAAATGTTTTAAAACCAAATTTCAACCTTTGAATCAAGCAAAAAAGTACCTAACTACCTACATTTTTATTTCAAGGTACGAGCTTATATTAGATATTTTGAAAAATATGAATAGTTAGGTAGGTATATATCATTGACCCTGTGAAACCCACCAGGCAATCATTTTGTTTGAAGTGCCTAATGTGGTCGAATTTTGGATTTACTTATTGATATTATTTAAGGGTGTTGCTCTAGCAGACATCGACGAAACTGCAGCTGAATCAGCTTTGCAACAAATAAATAATGAATTTGGACCAGGCAAAGCTTCCTTCGTTAAAACAGACGTTACTTCTAATGAGAGTTTCGAAGGTAGGCATTTTGTTAATACTAGTAAAGGTTGAACAGAACAACATATGCCGCGTTTAAGAATCCGCATCGGATGCATCTGAGATGTAATAAATCTTTGATCACGTGATTCAGTATACGTAAATGTAATGGGACAGATGTGTCCGATGTGGATAAAAAAACGCTCGAGATATAAAAAATGCATCAGATGTGGATTCTCAAACGCGGCAATAAGTAGATAAATTACTAATTCTTTAAATCAAAGTCAGAGAAAGTCGAGGTCGCGCGTATGAAGAATAGTCGTCAGGATAGAACAGAAGTAAAAGTTGGAAATGCTTTTGCCAGTTCTCCCACTTTATACACATAAATTGACAGGTTGGCACCGGATCTCACCGAAGTGGACGCGATACATTGGCGTACAAAATTATTTTATAGATGTTAATAACAATTTCGAGTAAATAGTTTAATAAATTGTGAATAGCTGCTGAAATTTTGTAAAATTATAATTTGAATATTATAATATATGTTTATTAATTATTTATAATCCATTAATACATGCGATTGTCCGGTTCCGCCGATAACAATTTAAAATTACTTATTCTATGGAACGACACTGGAAGGTAAACATTACTGTGAAATTCTCGGAGCCGCCCGACGTGGTTTGACGTTTACCCCCTCTCTACCTACCAAAAGACTTTTCAACTTTTACTTTCTCTATACCTATTCTCTAACTCATGGGACCACTCCCATACTTCCATGCCAACGTTGCCAAGTCGACAGAATAACTTTGATCTACTTTTGCCGCGTTTGGGAATACACATCGGATGCATTTTTTACATCTCGAGCGTTTTTTTATCCACATCGGACACATCTGTCCCATTACATTTGCCGCGTTTAAGAATCCACATCAGATGCATCTGAGATGTAGTAAATCTTTGATCACGTGATTCAGTATACGTAAATGTAATGGAACAGATGTGTCCGATGTGGATTCTCAAACGCGGCAATTTACGTATACTGAATCATGTGATCCACATCTGAGATGCATCCGATGTGGATTCTCAAACGCGGCATATTTAAGTAGTTCAAATTTGCTTTGTGATAAATACGGACCTAAATCTGGCAAGCCCGCAATTCTCCCTCCCATGGTATAAAATCTGACCTTACTACGCATGTACCTGGGCTAAAAGTGAGTAAGCACGATATACCCACCTAAGAGTAAGAGAGCAAAATATATGGGAGCACTCCCATGGGAGCGCTCTCATGACTTAGTGAATAGCTATCCAGGATACCTATTCTCTAACTCATGGGAGCACTCCCATGCCAACGTTGCAAAGTCGACAGAATATTTTTGATCTACTATTTAAGAGCCGATTCCACCGTTGTGTTAAACGGAGATTAAAGTGACATTGTTAATGTAAAAATGTCATTTTAAACTTCGTTTAACACAACGGTGGAATCGGTCCTAAATAGTTCAAATTTCCTTTGTGATAAATACGGACCTAAATCTGGCAAGCCCGCAATTCTCCCTCGCATGTATAAAATCTGACCTTACTACGCATGTACCTGGGCTAAAAGTGAGTAAGCACGATATACCCATCTAAGAGTAAGAGAGCAAAATATATGGGAACACTCCCATGGGAGCGCTCCCATATATTTTGCTCACTTACTCTTAGGTGGGTATATCGTGCTTACTCACTTTTATCCCAGGTACATGAGTAGTTCTCCCTCGCATGTATAAAATCTGACCTTACTACGCATGTACCTGGGCTAAAAGTGAGTAAGCACGATATACCCATCTAAGAGTAAGAGAGCAAAATATATGGGAACACTCCCATGGGAGCGCTCCCATATATTTTGCTCTCTTACTCTTAGGTGGGTATATCGTGCTTACTCACTTTTATCCCAGGTACATGAGTAGTTAGGTCGGAGTAAGCACAATATACCCACCTAAGAGTAAGAGAGCAGAATATATGGGAACACTCCCATGGGAGCGCTCCCATGACTTAGTGAATAGCTACCCGGGGGGCTATATTCAAAATAGAGAGAATTCATTTCTCTCAAGAGAAATGTCATACGTCAACGTAAAACCGTATTTTTAGGGCTCTTAGGGCCAGTGTGAACTCACTGACTGTTTCTCTCGGTTTATTTAGAGAGAATTAAAATCTTCCTAAGAATTTTAATCCTCGATGCCTTTAAAAACAACATTTCCACATTGACGTATGACATTTCTGATGAGAATCTTGAGAGAAATGAGTGCTGCCATACTTTGAAAATAGCCCCCCCGGTCGCGCGTCGTATATGTACAATGGAGACAATAATAGTATGCATAGGCAACATAACATACACTAGTGTGTCAACTGTATTGTCTACATATCTACGCCAAGAGGCGTCCGTTATATTTATTTATTAGGTACCTATGCAACATTGTTTTTTTTTCTAGTTTCTTGAAAATGTTAGTATTTTTTGTAAGAAAACATACATTTTTTACCTTCTTTAACTTTGGAAGCAACAATTTCTTATTTAGATTGTGAATTAGCAAACTTAAAATGCAATATAAATCTCGGAATGAAGGTAGGCGAAACTATGGCGACACAACATATAGTATCGAGTAATCCACAATATTTGTTTAAAGTAGGCCATGACCGACAAAGATAGTGTTAGTGATAACTACACACGCCTCTGAATTAAATCCAAATTGTTATTTAAAAAAAGCAAATTGTACACTCCGACATGTTTGTTTTTTCCAATGTTCACTTTACAAACATTTTTTGCTAAACACTCCATACATTTCTTCCTTAGATATTGTCTATTTCTTAGTATACGAATTGCTTATTTTTAGCTGCATTTAAAAAAACGATCGATTATTTCAAACATGTCGATATTCTTATTAATAATGCTGGTATGGTCAATGATAAATTGTGGGAGAAAGAAGTAGATATTAACTTGGTAAGTACACAATTAATAATATTAATTAATAGCTCAAGAGCCCACTGCAATTTTGGCCGTCATGGCATGTAAAAATATTATACTTTACCAAACGACACCTGTGCCAATCACTATCCTTAGAATAGTGGTTAAAACAATGACGCGTTTTAATAACGAAATAAGAATTATGCATTCGGATTAATAGAACTCAAAAAAGTACCTGTGCCCTCTTTTCCTGAGCCAAATATTCGGCACGGCCTTGTTTTGCAGCCAATTTACTCGACAAACTTCCGTAACGTGATGAGTTAAAACAATATGGAATCGAATGGGTATAATATTGTCTCATTAACGAATATCCACATGTGCCGCGATTTAACCCGAGCCTATTGAATTGTTGACTGACACAGCGCAATTTGTAAGACGCGCCTCGCCCCAGACAATTTATTTCACATACAAAAAAATCACAGCGAATTAATTTGTATTGAATATTACAATCCAATTAATTGTGAAGCTATCTTTTGAACCTCTTATCTCAATTTTATATACTAGATGCGGTACAAAAGAATAATGCACTACATATCGATGGTGTGACTTGTCCTGAGGTCAAAACGTGCCGAGTATTTGGCTAAGGAAAAGATATACTTTTTTTGAGTTCTATTAATCAATGGGAATCCGAGACATTTATTATCGCCACATACTTTGATTACTATACGGTGCAAGAGAGAGGTCCAACACGCCCAACATAGGGCGCGGCCATTTTGATTCCTATGCCACAGTTTATAGCTAAAGAATCAGATCGCTCACTCTGAGTCGGCACTTTTGATCTCAATGTTCCAGTTTATACACTGCGTAACTCGGATAATACAATATTATATGACAACCGCCTATAATAAAACAGCAGTCTTCTGCGTATCCTGAATTTGTATCCCTGGAGTGGATGTTATTTTGGAACTTTCAACTGGTCCGAGTGAGCTAACTGATTCTTTAGTAATAAACTGTGACTTCAAAAATAATATTAACTGACACTGACAGGAGCAAGCAAAATATCAGGTGCGTTTTAATCATCCGCTTCTGCTTCCGGAATTGTCGGTTTAGTCGTTTTAACCAGTCAGATTAAAACAAGGAAACCGAGAATTCCTAAGCAGAAGCGGATGATTAAAACGCACCTATTAAAAATATTGCGCCAAGATGTAGGCAACACTTAATAAGGGTTCAAAATGGCGGAGTTTTCTATCTCCTTTTAAAAGGCACTCAGAAAGCTGCGCAGTGCGATCATTCTCCGTATAGTAAAAGAAAATCAAAGTATGTGAGTGCGACCATTCTCCGTATAGTAAAAGAAAATGAAAGTATGTGATTATCGCCAATTATGACATCGGAAGTGCCATTGTTTTAACCACTTTGCTCAGGATAGTTGTAAAGTACAATGTTTTTACATGCCTTTGGGGTATATTTCATTTCGTTATCAGATGACGGCCGGAATTTGCAGTGCTATAAAAAATAGTTGGTTACTACCAAAGGCGGCTCCAGGTGTCATGCCCCCCCGAGGTTAAAATTGTTTAACCCATAAACGTCCTTTTATTTAGTGTGGTTATACGTACAGTATTTTCCAAGTATGTGCAAAACGCTACTATTACCGAACAAGAAAAAGTAATAAGTAGACTTAAAAAAAGGTTTTTTTTTTAGTAGTTTCTACATGCGCTTTGTGTTTATCTTCGGGTTGAGGAGCAAAAAAGGTCAACGCAGTAAATCGAATAAAAAAAAAATTGTATCCATCATCTAAACAAATATGCTCACCCTACTTTTTTCTGAAAAAAAATTTCAATACCATTGCCCCTCCGAAAATTCAGTCTGGAGCCGGCCTTGGTTACTACCATGCTAACATAAATAAACGGATTGAATAATTTGGCTATTATTTTCACAGAAAGGCACTATTCAGGGAATATTTCTTGGAATGGAGATTTATTTGAGGAATTACAAAAGCGGGGAGGAAGCAGTGATTCTGAACACTTCGTCAATAGCAGGATTAAGAGGCAATCCCGCTATTCCAGTTTATAGTGCCACTAAATATGCTATCATGGGTTAGTAGAATACTAAAAACTCTTTTAAAAATTTAGATATTATTAAAATGTACCATCAGACATATAATTTAAATAAATAAAAAATAAATCAATATTCCTGCGATAGGATTTTTAACAATTTGATGCTTGCTGTATATCTTGTTCTATCCGTGTTTTTCAACACTTTTCTGAATGAGAAGTCTGCAATGGTAATAATTTTGCGAGTGGGTATGATGGCAATATCGTACGAAGACATCTGTGTGCGATAAGAACAATCCACTCCAGCTGTACCGTAAATTTAGAGGATATTAAGATAAAATAACTATTTTAAAAAGTATCTATGAGTTTTAATAATAATAATATACAGAATAAATTAAAAATAAATAAAAAAAATATTTAAATTATTAGTTTTTCTTTCTGGATTTGAACCCCGGACTTTTCGCATCTCAGTATACTCTACATTTGCAGCCAACTAAATATATTTTATTTGAAACTCATAATTAGATTGATTTTAGATAGTTTTATTAAAATATACGATTTATTTGTAAATATAGACGATATCTTCTGAAATGCTATTATTTATCCATTCTTCACAAGAATCACTATTTTAAATTATATTTAATCTCAATAACTAAAAAATATAAAATTTTAAAAAATAATTGTAGCCCTGTCACCAAATCATCAAACTGTGATTGGCGGGTTTCATATCCGTACAGTGTCATTGTTAGAATATATTCGTTCAGTTGAACGCAATGGCCTTCTTTTTCGTTCTGTAGTCTGTGCATAAAGTAGATAATATCTATGTAGGTATAGAAGAAAATCTATTTTTTTTGAGTTACCTACATCTCTTATAAATCATGGATAATATGTTATTTTAAAACAGGTATGACTGGCAGCTTTGGTGCACCATACCATTACGAAAGGACCAAAGTTCGAATAATTACAGTTTGTCCTGGATTGACAGTCCAAACTGATGTTTTCAACCGAGGAGAATATACTTTTTCTCCAGAGTATATGGGAGCTTGGGTCTCTCCGTTAGAAGAACTTTACGCCAATAAGGATTACATTCAAACGTATGTTTTCATAGTTTTCTAAATTTGTTTTAATAGTGACATTTTTAGGCCCGAACATCTATCAAAAGAAGTGGTAAGGATGATTAAATTCGCTGAGAATGGAAGTGTTTACGTAGTTGAACAAGGCTTGCCTTCCTTTAAATATTGTATGGCTTTGAAGGAAACTATGAGGAATAAGTTGTTAATAGAAACTTAAATTTGATACTTTGTTTTATTTCAATAAACGTATAAAAAGACTGGGAGTGATGATACACTAAACATGGGTGTGTATAAATTTAATAAAAAAGTATGTTGTGCGCTTTCGGCTGTACAAAGTAGCCATCGTCTATTAGATACCCAGACAGCACACGACGTCCATTGGATGACCATTGGACATCCACGACATTATTTGGACAACATATGGACGTCCAATGGATGTCGTGTGCTGTCTGGGTACCACCACGGGAAGTATTAAATAAATTAAACATTTTGATGTTTTGTGCGATACGAGAACATTCCAAAACAATTAAAGTTGGTTAGCAATATCTACAATAGGTAGTTAGAGTAGTAATGTTGTAGTAGATAGTATTGATTTATTAAAGATCGCCATCAAGGACCAACGCCTCCTGCTGGACTGTCTTGTCATGTGTGTTTTTCACGAAAGTACTTAAAGTGGAGAAACTAAAGTTCTGAAAACGTTTTGCCTCTTAAAAGATGTACTGCCAAAAAAATATCGATCTTTAAATCCTATTTAGGAATATCCATTACCTTTCAACAAATAAAAACACCTGCCCTGTACCATTTCATCTGGTGCTTGGATAAAATGTGTTCATTAAATAGAATAAGAGAAGAAAACGGATATTAGAAAGGTGCATAAAGAAAATATTAAAAATGAAAAATAAAGACCAAAGGACAAACACATAAGAAGATGACGGTTTGTCCTATAAATTGTATCACCTAAAATTTGCAGAACTATGTGTATTACCGCATTAAATAGCATTCTCCAAGGATTATACAGAGTGGAAAGTTTAACTGGAACAAATTGTATGACTTTGTCGCAAAATTCCTGAAACATGTCAATTTTTATTGCAATGAGGTTTGTTAATGTGACTCGAAGCCGTCTCTGTTCTTTGTTTACTACCTTACCCGCGGTACAAAGTCTAGCGCTGACCATACAGAGACCAACTCACTGCTTCGAGAAGCTACCGGAGTGATCGCTTTGAACCGTATGAGTCATAGAGAGAAAGATCCCGAACGTTATGGGTGTTCTGGTTACATTAATAATAAGGAATTGTTTACTGAAACTACTTTAATGCAAAATATGTTCGACGTACTCACGGGGAATTCGAACCCACCTGCTCCTGTTCTACGCACAGTCTCTCTTCCAATTAAGCTATTGCTGACATAGTTAACGATTTCCAAAATTGTAAGATGAATATATAATTTCGAATCCAACTTCGCGTTTCAGACAATTTTCAGTTCTTCAACTACTGTACATCATCTCGTCTAAAGTAGAAAGCGGGATAAATCGAAAACATTGAGATTATTTCGATGAATTTCTATTTGCAGTTCATTGAAGAGCAAAAAAAGATTATAGCTAGGCGCTTTAAATGAAATATATTTTTTGTCGGGCAAAAGTGGGACAAAGTCGAGACAAAATCATGACACATAAACTCCTTGGCAAAATTTACGCAACATCATAACTTTTCCACATTTTTGTTTTTTCTTTTTTTTTTAAATTATGATCCGATTTGAATGATTTTTTTTTTCATTATAGGTTGGTTCCTTGACAATGTCATAATTTTCGCTATTTATGATAAAAAGTTCCTCTTCGATTTATAAAAAAAGAAATAAAAATGTAATGTTTTTCCGAAAATTCGTATCACCCTGTGGTGTATACTAGCAACCGAAACATATAGCAGTTGACATTAGACCGTATGTCCATCTTTCGCCAACATTTCCTTTTTTGGTTTACTTACATTGGGGGTTATGATTGATAACCTGTGTTATTTTAAACAGGTCTGTTATTTAATAAACACACAGAAATAACAAACAACCTGTTCACAAATAACGTGTCTGTTAAAAATAACATTATTGGTCAATCATAACCCCGCATATCTCTGTTATTTTATAGCATAATCAGGGCCGCCGAGAGCCAGGCCGGGCCCCAGGACAATTCTCTAGATCGGGCCCCGTGACGAAAAACAGCTCATCAAACAAAAATTTTTCCTCTTCTAGTTGAATTGAGTTTCTAAAAAAATCCTCAATTCTTCCACTGCTTCAATTGCTTTTTCTAAAAAAAAAAATTCTCATACAAAACAAAAAAAAAATTAGTTGCCGGGCCCCCTTTATACCGCTGCGGGCCCCCCATTTGAGTCCGGGCCCCGGGAATTAGTCCTGGCTACCCCCCCTCTAGTCGGCCCTGAGCATAATATGTTTTAATAGACTTTAAACATTCATTGTTAAATGTTTTCAAGTAGGTTATGGACCTTTTCTGACATTTCAAGCGATGTGTCAACAGATGTTGAGTTTAAAAGTTACAAAGCTCAAATAAAATTCGCCATACTGATAAAAACTGTTCAGAAAATGCTTATTAAACGTTCGTTTCGTATGCCCAGTTGCCCGATTAGCCAAGTAAACATTTTAACCGTAAGATATAATAATATACATGATCAGAACTGCCCTAAGACCTGTTTTTTACCATCTAAAAATGTTTTTAAATTTTTGTCCAAATATTTATTAAAACACACCTTGCAATAAATTACAAAAAAAAAATAATAATAAATAATGACTTATTTTAATTTTTATTAATAATTCATTAAATCTTCACACAAACAAATATATCATTTAATCATGTTTGTTAAATATTCATTATATTTGACTTTCAGTTATCTTTTTCTGTATTGACCATAATAAATTAGGTACATATTTACGAGTGCATGGTAAATATTTTACCATTTAGCATAAGAAAAGCCATACCTATACACTGTTAGTGATAACTACACACGCCTCTGAATTAAATCCAAATTGTTATTTAAAAAAAGCAAATTGTACACTCCGACATGTTTGTTTTTTCCAATGTTCACTTTACAAACATTTTTTGCTAAACACTCCATACATTTCTTCCTTAGATATTGTCTATTTCTTAGTATACGAATTGCTTATTTTTAGCTGCATTTAAAAAAACGATCGATTATTTCAAACATGTCGATATTCTTATTAATAATGCTGGTATGGTCAATGATAAATTGTGGGAGAAAGAAGTAGATATTAACTTGGTAAGTACACAATTAATAATATTAATTAATAGCTCAAGAGCCCACTGCAATTTTGGCCGTCATGGCATGTAAAAATATTATACTTTACCAAACGACACCTGTGCCAATCACTATCCTTAGAATAGTGGTTAAAACAATGACGCGTTTTAATAACGAAATAAGAATTATGCATTCGGATTAATAGAACTCAAAAAAGTACCTGTGCCCTCTTTTCCTGAGCCAAATATTCGGCACGGCCTTGTTTTGCAGCCAATTTACTCGACAAACTTCCGTAACGTGATGAGTTAAAACAATATGGAATCGAATGGGTATAATATTGTCTCATTAACGAATATCCACATGTGCCGCGATTTAACCCGAGCCTATTGAATTGTTGACTGACACAGCGCAATTTGTAAGACGCGCCTCGCCCCAGACAATTTATTTCACATACAAAAAAAATCACAGCGAATTAATTTGTATTGAATATTACAATCCAATTAATTGTGAAGCTATCTTTTGAACCTCTTATCTCAATTTTATATACTAGATGCGGTACAAAAGAATAATGCACTACATATCGATGGTGTGACTTGTCCTGAGGTCAAAACGTGCCGAGTATTTGGCTAAGGAAAAGATATACTTTTTTTGAGTTCTATTAATCAATGGGAATCCGAGACATTTATTATCGCCACATACTTTGATTACTATACGGTGCAAGAGAGAGGTCCAACACGCCCAACATAGGGCGCGGCCATTTTGATTCCTATGCCACAGTTTATAGCTAAAGAATCAGATCGCTCACTCTGAGTCGGCACTTTTGATCTCAATGTTCCAGTTTATACACTGCGTAACTCGGATAATACAATATTATATGACAACCGCCTATAATAAAACAGCAGTCTTCTGCGTATCCTGAATTTGTATCCCTGGAGTGGATGTTATTTTGGAACTTTCAACTGGTCCGAGTGAGCTAACTGATTCTTTAGTAATAAACTGTGACTTCAAAAATAATATTAACTGACACTGACAGGAGCAAGCAAAATATCAGGTGCGTTTTAATCATCCGCTTCTGCTTCCGGAATTGTCGGTTTAGTCGTTTTAACCAGTCAGATTAAAACAAGGAAACCGAGAATTCCTAAGCAGAAGCGGATGATTAAAACGCACCTATTAAAAATATTGCGCCAAGATGTAGGCAACACTTAATAAGGGTTCAAAATGGCGGAGTTTTCTATCTCCTTTTAAAAGGCACTCAGAAAGCTGCGCAGTGCGATCATTCTCCGTATAGTAAAAGAAAATCAAAGTATGTGAGTGCGACCATTCTCCGTATAGTAAAAGAAAATGAAAGTATGTGATTATCGCCAATTATGACATCGGAAGTGCCATTGTTTTAACCACTTTGCTCAGGATAGTTGTAAAGTACAATGTTTTTACATGCCTTTGGGGTATATTTCATTTCGTTATCAGATGACGGCCGGAATTTGCAGTGCTATAAAAAATAGTTGGTTACTACCAAAGGCGGCTCCAGGTGTCATGCCCCCCCGAGGTTAAAATTGTTTAACCCATAAACGTCCTTTTATTTAGTGTGGTTATACGTACAGTATTTTCCAAGTATGTGCAAAACGCTACTATTACCGAACAAGAAAAAGTAATAAGTAGACTTAAAAAAAGGTTTTTTTTTTAGTAGTTTCTACATGCGCTTTGTGTTTATCTTCGGGTTGAGGAGCAAAAAAGGTCAACGCAGTAAATCGAATAAAAAAAAAATTGTATCCATCATCTAAACAAATATGCTCACCCTACTTTTTTCTGAAAAAAAATTTCAATACCATTGCCCCTCCGAAAATTCAGTCTGGAGCCGGCCTTGGTTACTACCATGCTAACATAAATAAACGGATTGAATAATTTGGCTATTATTTTCACAGAAAGGCACTATTCAGGGAATATTTCTTGGAATGGAGATTTATTTGAGGAATTACAAAAGCGGGGAGGAAGCAGTGATTCTGAACACTTCGTCAATAGCAGGATTAAGAGGCAATCCCGCTATTCCAGTTTATAGTGCCACTAAATATGCTATCATGGGTTAGTAGAATACTAAAAACTCTTTTAAAAATTTAGATATTATTAAAATGTACCATCAGACATATAATTTAAATAAATAAAAAATAAATCAATATTCCTGCGATAGGATTTTTAACAATTTGATGCTTGCTGTATATCTTGTTCTATCCGTGTTTTTCAACACTTTTCTGAATGAGAAGTCTGCAATGGTAATAATTTTGCGAGTGGGTATGATGGCAATATCGTACGAAGACATCTGTGTGCGATAAGAACAATCCACTCCAGCTGTACCGTAAATTTAGAGGATATTAAGATAAAATAACTATTTTAAAAAGTATCTATGAGTTTTAATAATAATAATATACAGAATAAATTAAAAATAAATAAAAAAAATATTTAAATTATTAGTTTTTCTTTCTGGATTTGAACCCCGGACTTTTCGCATCTCAGTATACTCTACATTTGCAGCCAACTAAATATATTTTATTTGAAACTCATAATTAGATTGATTTTAGATAGTTTTATTAAAATATACGATTTATTTGTAAATATAGACGATATCTTCTGAAATGCTATTATTTATCCATTCTTCACAAGAATCACTATTTTAAATTATATTTAATCTCAATAACTAAAAAATATAAAATTTTAAAAAATAATTGTAGCCCTGTCACCAAATCATCAAACTGTGATTGGCGGGTTTCATATCCGTACAGTGTCATTGTTAGAATATATTCGTTCAGTTGAACGCAATGGCCTTCTTTTTCGTTCTGTAGTCTGTGCATAAAGTAGATAATATCTATGTAGGTATAGAAGAAAATCTATTTTTTTTGAGTTACCTACATCTCTTATAAATCATGGATAATATGTTATTTTAAAACAGGTATGACTGGCAGCTTTGGTGCACCATACCATTACGAAAGGACCAAAGTTCGAATAATTACAGTTTGTCCTGGATTGACAGTCCAAACTGATGTTTTCAACCGAGGAGAATATACTTTTTCTCCAGAGTATATGGGAGCTTGGGTCTCTCCGTTAGAAGAACTTTACGCCAATAAGGATTACATTCAAACGTATGTTTTCATAGTTTTCTAAATTTGTTTTAATAGTGACATTTTTAGGCCCGAACATCTATCAAAAGAAGTGGTAAGGATGATTAAATTCGCTGAGAATGGAAGTGTTTACGTAGTTGAACAAGGCTTGCCTTCCTTTAAATATTGTATGGCTTTGAAGGAAACTATGAGGAATAAGTTGTTAATAGAAACTTAAATTTGATACTTTGTTTTATTTCAATAAACGTATAAAAAGACTGGGAGTGATGATACACTAAACATGGGTGTGTATAAATTTAATAAAAAAGTATGTTGTGCGCTTTCGGCTGTACAAAGTAGCCATCGTCTATTAGATACCCAGACAGCACACGACGTCCATTGGATGACCATTGGACATCCACGACATTATTTGGACAACATATGGACGTCCAATGGATGTCGTGTGCTGTCTGGGTACCACCACGGGAAGTATTAAATAAATTAAACATTTTGATGTTTTGTGCGATACGAGAACATTCCAAAACAATTAAAGTTGGTTAGCAATATCTACAATAGGTAGTTAGAGTAGTAATGTTGTAGTAGATAGTATTGATTTATTAAAGATCGCCATCAAGGACCAACGCCTCCTGCTGGACTGTCTTGTCATGTGTGTTTTTCACGAAAGTACTTAAAGTGGAGAAACTAAAGTTCTGAAAACGTTTTGCCTCTTAAAAGATGTACTGCCAAAAAAATATCGATCTTTAAATCCTATTTAGGAATATCCATTACCTTTCAACAAATAAAAACACCTGCCCTGTACCATTTCATCTGGTGCTTGGATAAAATGTGTTCATTAAATAGAATAAGAGAAGAAAACGGATATTAGAAAGGTGCATAAAGAAAATATTAAAAATGAAAAATAAAGACCAAAGGACAAACACATAAGAAGATGACGGTTTGTCCTATAAATTGTATCACCTAAAATTTGCAGAACTATGTGTATTACCGCATTAAATAGCATTCTCCAAGGATTATACAGAGTGGAAAGTTTAACTGGAACAAATTGTATGACTTTGTCGCAAAATTCCTGAAACATGTCAATTTTTATTGCAATGAGGTTTGTTAATGTGACTCGAAGCCGTCTCTGTTCTTTGTTTACTACCTTACCCGCGGTACAAAGTCTAGCGCTGACCATACAGAGACCAACTCACTGCTTCGAGAAGCTACCGGAGTGATCGCTTTGAACCGTATGAGTCATAGAGAGAAAGATCCCGAACGTTATGGGTGTTCTGGTTACATTAATAATAAGGAATTGTTTACTGAAACTACTTTAATGCAAAATATGTTCGACGTACTCACGGGGAATTCGAACCCACCTGCTCCTGTTCTACGCACAGTCTCTCTTCCAATTAAGCTATTGCTGACATAGTTAACGATTTCCAAAATTGTAAGATGAATATATAATTTCGAATCCAACTTCGCGTTTCAGACAATTTTCAGTTCTTCAACTACTGTACATCATCTCGTCTAAAGTAGAAAGCGGGATAAATCGAAAACATTGAGATTATTTCGATGAATTTCTATTTGCAGTTCATTGAAGAGCAAAAAAAGATTATAGCTAGGCGCTTTAAATGAAATATATTTTTTGTCGGGCAAAAGTGGGACAAAGTCGAGACAAAATCATGACACATAAACTCCTTGGCAAAATTTACGCAACATCATAACTTTTCCACATTTTTGTTTTTTCTTTTTTTTTTAAATTATGATCCGATTTGAATGATTTTTTTTTTCATTATAGGTTGGTTCCTTGACAATGTCATAATTTTCGCTATTTATGATAAAAAGTTCCTCTTCGATTTATAAAAAAAGAAATAAAAATGTAATGTTTTTCCGAAAATTCGTATCACCCTGTGGTGTATACTAGCAACCGAAACATATAGCAGTTGACATTAGACCGTATGTCCATCTTTCGCCAACATTTCCTTTTTTGGTTTACTTACATTGGGGGTTATGATTGATAACCTGTGTTATTTTAAACAGGTCTGTTATTTAATAAACACACAGAAATAACAAACAACCTGTTCACAAATAACGTGTCTGTTAAAAATAACATTATTGGTCAATCATAACCCCGCATATCTCTGTTATTTTATAGCATAATCAGGGCCGCCGAGAGCCAGGCCGGGCCCCAGGACAATTCTCTAGATCGGGCCCCGTGACGAAAAACAGCTCATCAAACAAAAATTTTTCCTCTTCTAGTTGAATTGAGTTTCTAAAAAAATCCTCAATTCTTCCACTGCTTCAATTGCTTTTTCTAAAAAAAAAAAATTCTCATACAAAACAAAAAAAAAATTAGTTGCCGGGCCCCCTTTATACCGCTGCGGGCCCCCCATTTGAGTCCGGGCCCCGGGAATTAGTCCTGGCTACCCCCCCTCTAGTCGGCCCTGAGCATAATATGTTTTAATAGACTTTAAACATTCATTGTTAAATGTTTTCAAGTAGGTTATGGACCTTTTCTGACATTTCAAGCGATGTGTCAACAGATGTTGAGTTTAAAAGTTACAAAGCTCAAATAAAATTCGCCATACTGATAAAAACTGTTCAGAAAATGCTTATTAAACGTTCGTTTCGTATGCCCAGTTGCCCGATTAGCCAAGTAAACATTTTAACCGTAAGATATAATAATATACATGATCAGAACTGCCCTAAGACCTGTTTTTTACCATCTAAAAATGTTTTTAAATTTTTGTCCAAATATTTATTAAAACACACCTTGCAATAAATTACAAAAAAAAATAATAATAAATAATGACTTATTTTAATTTTTATTAATAATTCATTAAATCTTCACACAAACAAATATATCATTTAATCATGTTTGTTAAATATTCATTATATTTGACTTTCAGTTATCTTTTTCTGTATTGACCATAATAAATTAGGTACATATTTACGAGTGCATGGTAAATATTTTACCATTTAGCATAAGAAAAGCCATACCTATACACTATATATACATCGACCTACTTAATTTTAGCATTCATTAATTTAAAATGGTGTTCCAAGTAGAGGGTAAAATAGCCTTAATTACTGGTGGTGCCTCAGGTTTAGGATTCTCACATGCCAAAGAATTACTAAGGAATGGTCTAAAGGTAATGTATTAATTCATATATCTATAAGAAAATTAAAAATAAAAAGATTTTAAAACAAAGTTTGCAGAAGAAACATTCTTTATCTACTTAAGACTAGTAAAGTTTCTAATAAAACAAAATACTAAAAGTTGTTGAAAAATAGAGTAATATAAATTAAAAACCCGATAAATTCATTTTAAATTTTTTTTTTCAAAAAAGCCAAATATTTCTATTTTATAATTATTATTGGTTAAATAATAAATACATTAATTGACATTAATTACTTATTTTAGGGTGTTGCTCTAGCCGATATTAACGAAACTGCAGCTAAAGTGGCTCTGAAACAAATAGAAAACGAATTTGGACTAAACAAAGCATTGTTTGTCAAAACAGACGTTACTTCTAAAGAAAGTTTCGAAGGTAGGCATTTTAATACTAAGTTCTCCCTGTTTTCAGTTACTAGCAATATATCTATGCTAGCAATAAAAGTAATAGGTGCGCGTGGTAGACTTCATTCGCTACTGAAAAAAGCTTAAAGTCAAGAACATTTTGAGTCTGGAATATTTCGTATCTTCATCTGGCGTTACTTGAGTCCTTTTGATGCCGTAAACCACATTACATAATGTGGTGCCTGTTAACTACATGTTTCTTTCTACAGCAGTCACAAATATGCTAAAAGTTGAGAACGTGAAAGCATGGCATCCCATATAGCACAAAACATTTAGGAATTATTTCAAAAATGTTACATTGAAATATTTGTATAAATATTACGAAACGTCCCAGAAACATTTCTGAAACGTAAATATGTCCTGTAAATATAATAAATGTTCTGCTGTACTATTTTCGTTGACCAATGGAGCATCCAGAGTTTAAGTCTGGAGGGAATATTTCACAGTAACAACTGTGAAAATAAAAATTTGAAATCTATCAGAAATGTATTCTTGCTTTTTTTTTTCATAAATATTATAAAACTGTTGGACTTTTACAAAATAACCGGTTTAGTAACCTTTTGTGTATCATTTATATCATGTTTCAGAAATATTTTTAGTGAAATATTTAAATAAAATATTTCTGAAACTTGTGCTTGAAATGTTATATGTTTGAAACGTTTGAAATATTTTTGAAAGACTTATTATGAAATAATGTGTGCTGTATGGGATGGCAGTTTGCTAATTATCAGAAACATCATCAGAAACTACTGTCTTTTACCCTAATATACTTTTTCTACTAAGAAGGTTCTTGTGGATTCTTCAAACTAAATTTAAATTGGGAACTTAATATACAATACCTGTAATTTGTTTTGTCTACGCATAAGACCACTTATTTAAATTAACCCCTCGATTCAGTGGCGTAGCCACGGGTGGTTTTGGGGGTCAGAACCCCCCTTGAAGGGTCCTCGCGTCTCCATTTCCGCTATAGTATTGGCGCTGATCACTATTGACTGTTTATTTTTATTCACTTTCTTAAAGGACTCAAAAACCTCTCCCATGAAAAATGGCTGGCTACGCCACTGCCTCGACTAATTCATTTATATGATTTTTAGGTGCATTTAAAAAAACGATTGAATATTTCAAACATGTAGATATCCTTATAAATAATGCGGGCATACTCAATGATAAGTTTTGGGAAAAAGAAGTTGATGTCAACTTGGTAAGTTGGTTAATAATTTACCATGCTAACAAATATTAAAGGATTGATTGATTGCTATTATTTTTCTAGAAGGGCACGATTCAAGGCATATTTCTTGGAATGGAGATCTATTTGAGGAATTACAAAAGCGGGGAGGAAGCAGTGATTCTGAACACTTCGTCAATAGCAGGTTTAGGTGCCTTCAGTGCTGTTCCAATCTATTGTGCCACTAAATTTGCTATAATGGGTTAGTAGAATAAATTAAAGTATCTCGACCAAATATGGGCATAGTTAGACAGTTATATAGGAAAAAATCAACTAGATCTCTATATCTATAACGTGTGGAGGGTGGGTTACTCCTTGCACCTAGGCCTTACTAGACCCATTGTGAATTTTCCCAAAGTGATGCCATTTGTGACTGGCTTCTGGTTCACCTACAGTGAATTACGAAGTCGGTGTGGCGCTAAGATGGTGAAAAGAGATTAGGGGTTGCTCGGGCGCCAGTTTTGGTAACATAGTTTGCTCTGCTGTTTGGGGGCGGTTTCTCACCGATACGGTTTGAATCACCAGCGTATCCAAGGCACTTACTGCAATTTTCTTCGGAGTTTTAGATATTAACGGATAAGCTGACGGCAGCTCTAACGGTTGCTCTATGATCCCAATAGGGTAGCAAGGTATCGGACGGGGTGTTGGAGGTATCTCCTAGCTCGTGAGCCAGCCTACAGATTCAATGAGAACGTCGGGCAATCGTAGAGGATATGCTCGATGGTCTCATTTTCGCACCCCCTGCAGATTGCGGATTCTGACAACCCCGTGATATGGAGATGCTTCCGTACTTGGCAATGACCAGTCAGAATGCCTGTGACCAAGCGCAGATTCTGTCTAGTCATCGTCAAGTATTTGTTTGCTGTGTTGTTGTCAGGATAACTTAAAAGATCCCTGGCAACCCTGCCGTTATTTAAATTACATCTTTCCTTGAATTTCACAAGGAAATATTCTTTAATTAGGTCTGTCACTGCCTATTTTGTCAGGCCAATAGAAGGACCGGGTCCAAAAGGTATTTGGTTATCTGCTTTCTTGACCAGTGAATCAGCAAGACGGTTACCTTTCGATGTGGCGTGACCTTTCATCCATCTTAAGGTGACCTCATTGTTGATGGATACTTCGGCCAAAGCTTGTCTGCTATCTGTATAGATGAGCATATTCCTTCCAGTGATTGTTCCTGGTGAGTTCTTTTGCTGTTATGAGAATCCCCTACACTAGCACTATTGCTCAAAGCTCATTTTTTGTTTAGCTTTAAGGATCTGGAGTATATTCCACATCCTGAGCCTTGTTTTGTTTTAGAATCTTCGGTGTAGATATGAATCGTACCTGCCACTACCGGCTGTTCTATTTGTTCTGTTATAACTTTATGTAGCTTATGAAAGATATATCTCGGTGAGATTGAGTCCATGTTGAGTGGGAGCGTATCGAGCTCCTGCCTCATCAGATCCTACATCAGGTAGGATCAGGTTCTATTCCAACCGTGCGGAGAAGCGTCATTGTCGTCAGAGCAACCTCCTTGATGTAAATATCAAGGGGAGTGAGACTAAAAATGGCTTCCATGGCTCTGGTAGGTGTGGTTTTTGTGGCTCCTGTTATGATGAGACATGATGTTCTTTGAATTTGTTCTAGTTGGCGGATAGCTGTCAATTTTTGTGTTTTCAGTAACCAGACAACTGCACCGTATGGAAGCATAGGTCTTATGTTGGCCGTGTAAGTCTATGCGACGACTATGGAGGAGAAACCCCAGGTGCGCCCCATGGTTCGGCGGCATTGTTCATAAGCAATGTATGCTCTTTTGACTCCGTTTGAGTGTGACTTGCAGTCAAAGGTGAGACCTAGGTACTTCACCTCTGTTACAAAGTTTAGTTTTGTGTTTAGGAGTTCTGGAGGCTTTAAATCCATTTCTTCCTTCTCTTTGTGATAAGGACCATTTCTGTCTTCTTGGGAAGTAACTAGCTGTTTAACATTTTGCTATTTTTTAATTTTGGTTATTTGAATCCAACTGCCCATAATTTGGGCAGGGGCAAAAAATATGGGGCCTAGTAAAATAAAACTCTCTTTTTCATTCTACAAGTAAGTAGTTTGTGGTAAAAATAGATATTTTTGCCGTAGGTACATAGAAAGTGTTCATATTAAAATCAAAGAAACTAGGAATGACGTCTTTTTCAGCCTAATAAAAATGATACGCAGCGCAGTATTAAATCTACAGTTCATCAAATTTCTAGAGGTGTTCGACGCCCAGACAGAGAACGCGCTACGTGTGACTAAGATAGCTATTGTACAGTCTGCTAAACAAGTTATTTTAAATAGTTTTTAATATTTTTAGGTAATTAAATTTTAAAAGTGTGGAATAGTTTAGGGATTAAATTGGTCTGATTGGACTTTCTTAGAACGTTTTTAAAAGCAGCTAAAGATAGTATGTAGAATTGAAAATAATTATTATGCCATAAAAGTTGTTTTGGAATTCCTTCAACCTTTTGAAATTGAGTCAGAAAATATAAATTTTATAGGATAGCGGAAAATACCTATAATTTTTTTGTAGGCTTTTGTAAATCGTGGAAATAGTTTATATTTTATTTCTACCTTATTAAGGAAAATGGTACCTATTATTAATAACGGTTGTTTCTGAAACATTACTAAAATTTTCGAAATTTTGTTTTTCTACAAAATAATAAACTATACTATTTAGAAAAAAATTTATTTCTCTTATAATTTTATAAAAAATAACAGGGGAATATTTACATTTCTTGATCTATTAAACAAAACGATAAATTATCTCGACGAATGACACCATGTTCTAGTACGGAAGCTAGCTTTACATTTTTGTTGGTGGTTTCATGGGTTTCATATCAATTTTTTGTAATTGTAGTTTACACGTACATATACCTCTTAACACTTGTTTGCTTTATTAAAAAAGTGTGTTGTTGTGATTTACGTCGAAATAAGTCAAAAACAACTTGAAACCCCATATAAAATCAAAAAGGAGAAACGGAAAAAAATTGAGCCTGTAAATGAACACAACTCAGAAACAAAAATAGCTATCTAATAATAAAAAAATAAAATTTGATTCTTGTGCATCTTCGTTGTAAAAATAGATAATACTTTTTTGATCTTAGGTACAGATATAATTTGAATGGTCTTCCGAAAAACTTTCTTCAGTTTCCATATCAGATTCAAAATCAGTCTCACTGTCACTGTTTAAGTTAATTATAAATATATCAGTTGCCTCATCCAAAGTAACTTCTCTGTCATAAAATTTAGATTCCCACATTTTAGCATTATTACAACGAGATTGCCACTCCTCTTTAGAAAACGTATCAAAAAAGTCTTCACACAACAGTTGTACGTCTTGCCTCTTAAATGTAGTGTTGTTACTAGCTACATATTGTTTCAATGATGCCCACACTAATTCGATCGGATTAAGATCGGGATGATACGGTGGCAAACGCAAACACTAAAACCATGTTCATTTATCATTTTTTCAATTGCATACCTCTTAAATCGTGACTTATGCAATAGCACTAAACTGTATAATTGCGTTTTGAGCATATCCTCTTCGTAAGCAATATTATGATTCCTTAACCAATCCTGCATGTCAGCTTTTTTAGAAGTTGACGTTGGTGCTTTATTTACCTGGACATTATGGTAAGGAGCATTATCAACAATAATGACGCTTCTTGGAGGGAGGTTCGGAAACAGCTTTTCTTTCAACCATTTAGAAAAATTATTAAAATTAATTTCATCGTGGTAGTCTCCACTTTTGGTTCCAGATTTGAAAATTAACCGGGCATTCGGAATAAAGCCCATTTCACCTCCTGCATGGACAATAATTAGTCTATCACCTTTATTAATTGGTTTCTTTAATCCCTCATTTGAATTATCACTCCAAGGTTTCTGGTGTGTGTGGGAGGCATGAATGTATGTTTCATCTAAGTAGACAATTGGACGGCCCTCTGCTCGATAACTTTTTAAACGAATCAGATAGTCTAAACGTAGCTTTTGAATATCAAACCTTTCCATTAATATTTTTCTGTTTGTTTTTGTTTTCCGCCAACGAAATCCTAGCGACTTTATTATTTTTCTTAAACTTTCATAGCTTCCTTTGTACCCTGTAGCTTCTCTAAATTTAGTCAGAATTGTTTTTAATGTTGGAACAATATTTTCCGAGATTAACATGAACAGAATAATTCTTTTTAAAATACCTTTGTCAGCTTCATCTATATCATTAACTGTTTTTGGTTTTTTAATGGTTTTTCTTGGTGATGAAAATTCCGATATCTCACGGTTATCGATTCTTTTTTTCTCTCTAGAAATGCGGACGACAGTGTTTTTAGATACTCCTGTGGCTGCAGCGACACGATCATTTACATTTTTAAATGGTATTGAAGGTGAATTAAAGTTTCCTTCTCTTCTCATAAACTCTATAACATTGGCTATTATTTCGCGAGATTGACTGTTAATCACGCGGCCTCTTAATTTGCTATTAAACTCCATACTTAGGTTCTATTAAAATGTAATGAGCAAAAAACATAAACGAAAATAAAAGAAATGTTTTAGCGAAATTTACATCTGACATTTACGTCTGAATAAAATAGTGAAATACTTGATGCGCAGAGTGTACTTTCATTGCGTAAATCCGTCGGCCCCGCCAACCGATGCCTCTCAGTAGTGCTTTCTCTGTCTAGCCGTCGAAAGCCTCTAGAAATTTGATGAACTGTACTCTGCAAGTGTTTGTAACGCACTGGCAGCCCCCTATTCTATAGTTGCGCTTTGATGACATGATGACTGAGTGATGTCGGATTCTAGTTCTCTAATAAATAACCATCTTTTGTTAAGAACCAAAAGTTCTGGAGAGTATTGGGTATAAAAGAAATTGCCCATATTAAGAGCCCTATCCATATTTGGTCAAGGTACCAACCTCATATTTAAACTTATGTAATACCATCAGTTTAAAAACCAATTATTATCGCTGAAGTTTGGAACAATAACTACAATTAATCATTAAGTATGTTTTTTTAGTAGGTAATTTGGTGAAAAAATATGGACTTTAATTTAATATATTGTATTTAATTGTACTATCACGAACTTCTAGGAAAAAAAATTTACTGAAACTGAAATGTTCTTTATAAATAGTGGATTTGTTATTTAAAATAGGTATGACCAGCAGCTTCGGTGTAAAATACCATTACGAAAGAACAAAAGTTCGAGTGATTACAGTTTGTCCTGGATTGACAGTCCGAACTAACATTTTCATCGAAGACGTATCTACTTTTTCTCCAGAGTATATCGGAGCTTGGAATGCCCCAGTGGAAGAGTTATTCTCCAATAAAGATATCATTCAAACGTAAGTTATTTTTATAATTTTCTTCATATTTTTTTTTGAATTGACATTTTCAGGCCTGAACATCTGTCAAAGGAAGTGGTGAAAATAATTGAATTCGCTGGGAATGGAAGCGTTTATGTGGTTGAAAACGGATTGCCAGCATTTCAGTATACTATAGCTCTAAAGGAGACCATGAGAGATAATGTGTTAACAAAAAAATAAGATTAATAAGTTTAATAATTTTTTTCAATAATATTCCAAAACAAGCAGTAGCAGCAACAGAGTTAATAATTTGATACAAAAGTTAATAGAATGTGAAATTATACCTTGTCCGGGACATATGCTTTCCTCGTACATTTTTTTGACATAATTCCTCGACTGTAGTAGACTGTTGATATAAACATATTATGTTGAAGTATGTTCGTCATACCAATTATTTTATAAAAAAACTAATTTAAAATGATGCTTGGCATTCTATATTATATTCTTTACAATATAACAGACCCCCTTAACCCCCAGTTTTATTCAGATTTTTTTTCAAAATCGATAAGCTTGATTCCCTAAATAGAGCCTGATTTTTGGTAAAAATTTCAAGTTGCTATCATTTTTCGTTTTTGAGTTAGGTTTCGTCCCGTTATAGGGCTTCAAATTTTCCGGTTGATATCATTTTTCGTTTTTGACATATCGTACGGACAAAAAACGTGACATCGGAGTTGTTTAAAATTTGATGAGAAGGATTTTGGTTCAAAAATGTTTAAATTTGGACCAATATTAAAAATGTTGGTTTCTTGAAAGTAAACCTATACTATTCTTCACAGACTACTGTGTGAAGAGTATAGTAATGTTGACAGATTCATAAAAAATACTGCCCTAGAATTATGTAAATTTACAAAATTATTAGCAATACATCGCTATTCAGTTTGTAAATTACATTTCAGGTGAAGGTATTGTTACGTTTTTTTTTAAACAGTTTATTATTTATAATTTATTTATCCTAAATACTAATTAATTTATACTTAAGCACTACTTATGTTTCACACTAATTTATATAACAATTCGAATGTCCATCTTCAACTTTGTTTCGATTTCAACTGAACTCTGGCACAGCATCACAACTCATTTATATAAAATGGTGAAGGTTCTAGATGTTTCCACAATATGACACCCTCGCAATTAATTGCAATTTAGTGTCATCAAACATTTGACTGTGTTCTAGTGTATCCCAGACTGATAATAAACAATGACCTGAGTCGTCCCATTAGGGTCGATTTCAGGGGGTTAACTTATTACAAAGGTATACAATCACAAATCTTTAAAATATCAATATATGTAAATGTGAAGTAGATACTAGGATATTACATTGTATTAACACTAAAGTAACATATAATAAATGTATTTTTACCTGAATGTAAATATAATATAGGTATTGGATTGAAAGGTGAATCATTTTACTATTCATTGTAGATAGAATACATCGTATGTCGTAACCCCTTATATATACCAACCATTTCCACTGACACTTCTTTTGTTTGGAATTCCTAATTAAATACAAACCAAGATGAACGACAATTATTATAGGTGTTTCAACTTCCCTAAAATCCCATATAAAAACAAAAGACGATATGGCACCAAACACGACGTAGTTCCAAAAAATCCACCAGAGGTCGTTAGAAGGTGAGGTACCCGTTTGACCATTATAAGAACTAGATAAAATATGTTTTAACATCAATATGTATCCAACTTCAAGATCTGGCCATTAGATGATTGGTCAATCATTTGACAGATTATTATACTAATGTTCACGGAGCATGGCATATATTATATTATAATATATTTGTATTTTATTTATAACTCAAATAATTTTGCAATATTATTTATTGTTATTAGTTTAAGTAATGCTTTTTTCATCTTTGTTGAGGTCTAGTTATTGTTGATCTTAGATATGAATGATGTACTTGATGTACTGATGTCAAATATTAATTTAGAATTTAAAAATCAAAAGTAGAAGTGGACGATGTAGAAATAAAATAATAATACGCTAGTAATTGCTGTTATAGATTCTTATAACATTTTGTAGATAAAGAAAAGAAACCAATAAAGGTATTTTCAATTTTTTAATAATGTATGTGTGTCGACGAGACTGGAAGTGCACTATTGGTGAGCTAGTGATGAAGCGCGAAATACTCCGGTCCGTACACCGTTGTCAAAGTCGTGTCTCCCGTCGTCTACAACCTTAAAGATGCTTCAGGAAAGAGACTTAATCAGGTGCACATAAAAGACCTGAAACCGGCCGTCGAGTCAGCTTAGACACGAACCGCTGCCACCAACACCACCGCAACGACGCTTGCCTTCGACACCACCACAACAATACTTGTCACCAACACAACGGCTACGACGCTTACCACTTACGCCAGGAAAAAACAGTGAGATAATTTTAAGCACGATAGCCAAATTTAAAAGACTGTTTGAGGAGCCGCCGCCACAAGTTAGTGCATCCAACATGGGCATCTCACAATTGCAGCCAAGTATAAAGATCTCCATACCATTAAAAAAGCTTTTACCGCCAGATTTCAAAGGCAAAAAGTACCGGCTGCACTTAGAAGAGAAAAAGGTAATCCGAATAAAAGGCAGAGAAGGAGGATCCACCAGCCATTTAAATAATTTATAGGTTTAAATTTTTTTAAGAAGAATTATGGAAGAATTGTTTTAAGAAGAATTATGAAAGATTTTTTTTTTAGTTTTAGGCACAACTAAAGGAAGAGGGATGGGAAGATTTTTTTTAGGTTTTTTTTTTTAGTTTCAAAAATTTCCGTTTCGAAATTTTTTTCCACGATGGAGGGGTGTAACGATGTTCCCCAGTAACACCGTTTTATGTACGCCTATGGTTAAGCATGTAGCCGTTTTTGCCAAGCAGAGACAAGTATATAAAGAGCTCCGAATTTAATTCTCGTCAGTCGAACTAAGGTACTGACTTAGTAAGACTCTCCTCTCCTGCTCCTGCAGAGGTATTGACTCTGTGGGCTTCCTGACGTCCCGACCCCTGCCTGCAAAGGTATTGACTTTGTAGGTTTTCCTTTCCCGTGGATCTCTCCCACGAAGGTATTGACTTCGAGGGACTTCCATTACCGTAAACATAACCTAAGCTCTTGTCACGTTTTCGCCACGCCATCCTGGACCACCGAGCCACGCCGAACCGACGCACAAAATATATTTTGGGGAACAACATTTGAAATACATTAATTTATTCCTTTTCGTTTGTAAATATTTTAAAACAATATATGTGTCAATGTTAACTGGCCGTATTACTGGTTGTTAATTCCTAAATTTATTTCCCCCTTATATTTCAGCTAGTGATTAATTCTGTACCAGCTCAAGCAACGATTAAAGCCCGTTGCTTGTGGCCTACTATTACCTGTGTCTAAGTGACCTTTGACCCCTGGAATTTTTCATCTCCATTTGTAGCTACCCGAGTACTTTCGACGCCGTTTCGAAAGTTCGTGGAGTAAACCATCACCAAAAATCTGGCGCTCGAGAACCGCTCGTAACCAGCGTCACTCGTAAGGAATCGTTTTCTCTGTGGCGAGAAAACCCCTTACAGTACTAAGCCGTTTCGTGAAGTTGCCATTCCCTATAATGCGAATTGACCTTAAGAAGAGGTATCTTCTTCAATAGTATCATCCTTTGCTCAGATTCAAGATAAGAATCGACAGGAATAGGTAATAGAAATTGCGTTTGTCTGACCCTTTTGTTTTTGGTCTGGTCAGTTTCCACTGTATTATATCGTGTCTATGAAGACTCGTGTCTTCTCCTCTGATAAGGTGAATGTGTCCGATATTTTTAAGCCTTCTTTTTCTATTATTTAAAGTAGTTGAGCGAATTAGGTAGGCTCTGGTTTTTTATTTAGTTCAGCCGCCAAAAAAGTTTTCAAATCGCAGGATGAAAACTTTTCAAATGTCATAAACGTTCCAGATATTTGCAAAGGTGGAATAGGGCACGATTTGTCTATGATTGCCCGTTTTCTCGATTATAGTTTTACTCCTCTCCTTTTACAATCTTCCCCGTTACAATCTTCCCTCTCATCTCTTTTCCAATCTTCTCTTTTAAAATATTCCATTTTACAATCTTTCCTTATTTTTTAACGTAGACTTTCAAGCAGTCTTTCATTTAATACCTAGATATCTGAAAATTATTTATGTTATGTTAATTGGTGTTTGTTAACCATTTTTTTCAGTAAAGTTTTAGTTTCAATAATAATACGCCATATTTTGGTATAGTTATTCACTTGATTTCAGTTTATTTGCAGCCTCATACTGATATTTGTCTACCGCAAGGATGGAAATATGATTTGCAAACAGTTTTTTTAAATTTTCATAACAGAGGTACAGACATTGTTTAAAGAGTAGATATAGTTGGTCAGAGACATAGACCGAATGGTTTGAATATTTTGGAGACGACAAATAGATGGGACTGTTTTTGGGTTGCCAAGATTATATAATGAATGCCATTTTCTATCCATGTATTATTTCGTTTAAAATTATATTCCAAAGCTGTTAAGGCATCATCCAGATATTATAAATGTAAACAAGAATGGAATGATTAATAATAATTTGTTCTTTTTTTATATTTATAATGTAAGCTCTTGGCGAAAACTAATAAAATTTCCACACTTGAAAAGACATACCACATTTTATTGCAATTAGGAGATCCCTCCATGTGAAATTGTTTAGGACTGGTAACAAAATAAGCATGTATCTTTGGAATGTGTTTATTAGTTATCTAAAATGTAGCAGTTATAATTTATTTAATACCTACTCTTCTGTAAACATATCAAAATGTCACTTAACACTTACTTATTCAAAATCCTTTTAAACAATATTTACAATTTTGTAGGAAAGAATACACACTATTTTCCTTATTTAATTATTGTTATCTCGAACACTATAAATATGATGAATAATAGTAATGTCTTCACTTTGTTTTGATGAAATATATGGGTGGTTATTATTATAGGTATGTGGTAGTATTTTTCTTCTTGTCGTTTTCACTTTTCATTTCGTTTGTTACATAGAGTATGATTAGTAGACATTAATAAATTACCATTATTTTAAAAAAAAAATTGGATGAAGACGTATTTTTTACTTGATAATGATAAAATTAACTCAATTTTCTGACAGTTCACAGTCATTATTTCTTTTCATTTGCGATACGTTACCTTCTACCTA